TTATAATTTATAACCTATTATTAATATAATACCTAATTACTTAAATTAACTGCCTTAGTAGCTTTACTAATATAAACTATAACTAGTTTATCCCTTAGAAACCTTAGCCGTTACATGAGGCCCCCACCCCCTATAGGGTATCCAATAAGTTATCGAGAACATTTGAAGGTTCAAATTAGCGATAGCATATATATCTAGTACATCTGTTGGCTACGACCGCCTTTTTAACACATGTTGAATGTTCAACTACACAGAACTCTCAGAATCAGTGGTAAACGGCCTAGTGCTGCTAAGCGAATCGACTCGGCCGAGAAGAAACTCGAGATGTCGGTACGCGGCGCTTGGCGCGTACTGGGGAATCATGTGGCCGGCCAGCGAAACGCCAACATACGTTAAGCCACGTTCCGTGTGCGCCGTGCCGAAAACACCAGCGCCTGCTAATGTGGCATCAGCGCCATCAGTGTGGTATGGGACGTAAAATGGTTCAACAGGGCGCTTGTGGAAGCCCTGCTTTCCACCAAATGTCATGTTTTGAATTATCATAAGTGTGCCATTGGCAATGAGACCAAAGTCCAATGCACCGTGGCCAATAATGACGTTTTGCGTGCCGTCTATGACACGACCCAGAACACGGTTGGAAGACGGCTCGGAGTGGTCCGCGCCGTCACCAGCAAAGACAGAATCGTCGGAGCACGACATCCAATTGACATTGAGAGGAGCATGAATGGCTTTCTTGACATCTGTGCGGTTGAAGTAGAGCGAGGCACCCTGAGGTAGATACTCAAAGGCACCGGGGAAGCCGAGCACGTCCCATAACAAGGGGCAGGTTGTTGCTATCTGGTATATGTTGAAGCATGGATTGAGCGCAGTGACGGCATCTTGAACGCGCTGCGAGAGACTGCAGGCTGGAAGTACCTCACCCGTCCTTGGGTCGAGACCCGGCAGGACGGAGGGCAATCGACCCTTTGGTGGGTAGCTGAGGTGCTTTGCACGCAAGGCGGCAAAGCCGCAATTGTTGTCAGCACGGTGGATTTCTTTGACAAATGAATCGTTGAGTGGAAATAAGTTCCGGTTGGAATCGATAAAAGGAACCGCGACCATATCGTTTTGAAGCCTGGTATCGCCGATAACAGGATCGTAGATCATCATACCCTTCATGTTAAAGTGGCTTGTGTCGTTTGCATCTAGCATAGCGTTCGCAATATACGGGCAGTACATGCCGCTATTGCCGATTTCATTAGTCGAATCGATTCATCAGGTTTCAGACTTGGCACCAAGACTTACGCATAAGACTCCCCCGTAATGTACACCTTGTATCCTTGCATGGAAAATGTCTGAACAAAGTTCCTAAAGAAGCCTAAAAACTGCTTCGCTACATCATCCTCATTCCTAGCCGTCACATTTCCCTGGGAGAAGCCCGTTCTAATTGGCTGTTCTACCCAGAGCACGTTACTGAGCTGGTGCCAGCCCCACGGATTTGGGACGGGTTTAAAGGTGCCATACTGCCATAAGAAAGGCCCATTTTCCTGCAGAAAACCCTCGAGGGATGAGCATCCGGGCTAGGAAAGCGTCAAGAAAGTTAGTCTCGAGACCAAAAGTAATACAATCGGCGTCATGGGTACAGTGCCCAGCTCCTTTATCCCCCTACATTAGGAATGACTTACACCACCATTAAGCCAGATAACAATCTCCTTCCTCGCAGCCGGATTAGGTGAGGGTTGGAACCAGAAGTAAAATCTATCAGTTCCATTTATATCCTTGGTAGTGGAAAGCGTCCCCGCATATGCTTCACCAATGTCGAAATCAACATCAGGAATCCCGGTGCCATTAACAGCGAATCCTGTGTTCGTGGATTAATTAGTTTGCTAACCATGAGCATCATTTCATTTAGTTTACACAAGAAAACGGCTTGAATACCCTTCTACTCACTTCTTGTACTGACGCTGTCGAATTTCCTGGGAACAGCGCCGTTCCGAGTCCACTTGTCAAAGCGAACGCCGCGTTGAGTCAACTTTGGGCGTAGTTGGGCCGCTGGATTTTCTCTGCCATCGCAGAGGGAGAAGGACCCTATCCAGGCAATTAAAGAGGTGATGACTACTAGACGCATGTTGAAACACAGCTTGTGAGTAACAATTACGTACTCGTCCTCATACTAAACCGAATCCACTCTTGTATCCGTCAGCAGACCATGGGAGTATTTAACGTATTTATAATCGCTGCGAGGCATTGCTATGCATGTCGGACTTAAACGACCCGCCTCTGGAATCACAAAGAAAGTAGTGCCGCTGTTCTGTGCCACCAGGCGTGATTAAAATCGGGTTCAAGTATCCTCGAACCTGTTGGAAGGACGCAGTAAGCATGCTACCTGTGCTTACTCTGAGTAGCAGCTCGGCTACTGCACGCTGACTGCAGAAATATATGGCGGGTCGATCCACCTGGATGGGACGTTGGTTCTCACCAGATGGCATGTAAGACGTCAACTGGTAGTATAGTGAAGGCATCTGCCTAATCACAGTCTCGGTAAGTGCATTGGAAAAAGAAGGAAAACGCAAATTTTGCGGCCTGGCTTTGTTTCATGGGGCTACTACTCCGATGGACTCAGAGCTAATGAGACTACAATAAGTCATGGTATGCAACTTTGCGGCCAAGCAGTGAGCTGAAAGCAGTGATGAGTGGTCGGATACATACATCAATGTCAATAGTAACCTGACCCGTGGCAGCACCGCGGAGTAGAATGAACGGCCAAGTAACTACCGGGCACTGTTGGGTACATGGCAGGGCGAAAATGTTCACAGTATTAATAAAAATAGTCCACCAGACCCTTACTGCTGAGTCCATACCAACTTGGTACTCCCATCTTTTGAATACATTATGTTTGCTTTTTTTTAAGTTTCTGGGATCGTGCCTCGCACTTAGTTGGAGAACATTTACAGAGATTGATCCGACCCGTTCTATACTCTACAAGGTTCTGATCTCTTTGTGGTCTACTCTATAAGATTTTTTTCCCTTTTTTGTGCTGCCATGATATTTGTAAACTTCAATTTCCCAGACCATCCTTCAACTTCTTTTATTGGCCTTGTTTCTTCTCAGATACAGTAGATAAGCTCATGTACAGAGAATGAAAAGCAGACTCAGAGTTCGCGAGAAGCTCCCGCGGATTACCATTCTCAAGAATGTGGCCTTTGTCCATGAGCACAACACGGTCAAAGTCCAACACTGTGTGTAACTTGTGGGCGACGGCGATGATGGTTCGGCCACGAAAGTCATCTTGTAGAAATCGCTCCATTATTTCTTCTTCATCCGAGTTGACACTATGCACCCATTAGTAATGTGGTTGCGTGAGGCGAGCTGATACACGCCTGTATTTTGTGGCGAACCATGCAAGGTAGTGAATCAAAAACAAAGTCTCTCCAAAGTTGGACTTGTAACATACCTGCTGGTTGCCTCATCTATAATGACTATACTGCTGGGCTTCACAATGGCGCGTGCGAGGCAGAATAGCTGCCGCTGCCCGTGGGAGAGAAGTTCTTCGCTGATCATCTCATCCAGCCCACCGCGTTCCTCCAGCATCTGCCACAGATTTACGGACCGAAGCGCGGCAATAATAGAATCATCATCGGATAAGTGCAATAGATCAACATTATCGCGTATACTGGCTTGTAAGAAAAACGGCTCTTGAGGTAGCGTGTTCAGCCGTAAGCGCACCTCCTGCCGGGGAATCGTACTAATGTCCACACCATCAATAGTAACACTTCCCGTATCCAGCTCAAGAAGGCGTAGCAACGTGGAGATTAAAGACGTTTTGCCACTGCGCAAAGGAGAAACGTGGAAAGTCAACACCGAACCTTTAAAGTTGTGTCGCAAAAACGGAGCAAAACTTACCTGCCTGTACGGCCACAAATGGCCACCTTCTCGCCAGCATTGATGGATAGATTGACATCTTTCAAGACTGGCTCTTGAGAAGACTGATACGAAGCCGAGACATTACTAAACTCGATTGTGCCACTTAAGGGCCAGCCCTCCGGAGGATGACGTGTATTGGCCCCTTGGTTTTCGGATGGAGTGTTTGAGACGTATGATCTTATACGACTTATGGCGCCAAGGGCCGTCTCCAATTGTGTCCACTGTGCGATAAGAGTCTGAAGCGTGCCACTAAAATTAATGATGCCGAATAGAGCAACGCCAAGATAGCCAGTCTTTCCACCGGCAGTGGCGGTTGCAAAAGCAACGAGGATAACAGCGATGCCGCCGACCATTAAATCTAGAACTAGATTGAGCCATCTTTGTATGCACCAGAGTAGATAATAGGGCCTCTGAGATGTATTGAGCACATGATAGTTGCGTTGGAGGTAGTTGTCTGTCCACCCGTAGGCACGGATACAGGACACACCCGCCAGAGTTTCCAGGAACTGAGAGAATAAAGGGGCCTTGGCTTCAATGTCTATGATTCGAAGCTGACGTGATGTACGTAGATAGTAAAACTGTATCATGTAGACAAAGAAGATGCACACGGGGACCGTTGCGGCCAAGTAGCCTGAGCCGGTGAAGACTAAAACAGCAGAAATGACAACAGTAAATAGCTGAACAACTGTCTGGTCTAGGGCATGTGCCAGATCGTTGTCAACTAATTGCAAATCTTGACTAAACCTGTCGATGACAGAGCACTCTGCGTCAGTCTCATAGCCAATGAAACAAGTAGGTCATGAAACACACCTGTTGGCAATTTGGCCAGCATCAGTTGATGTTAAAAAGGATGTCGGCGCGCTTAAGAGAGAAGTTAGAAAGTTGAACAAGAGTAAACATGTGAAAGGCAAGACTTGCTTCATGGTTGTCGCGAGCAAAAGCTCATGAAACTTTCTCGATATTTTAGGCAGCAGAATGATATTGAATATCCTGAGAAATGATTAGATGACAGCGTAGCAATTGAGGCAGGTAAATTACCAATCTGAGGCAAAACAACCCAAAACCGCCAAGGCTCCCAGCAGGCCGTAGATGCCTAGCCAGTAGCCAATCTTGTCGTTGGGCGTCTTTGCGTTCGCATTGGTCCACCACTGCAACCAGATTGCTGGGAAGGTGTTAGCGACTTTCGAATAGGTGGTGAAGAAATTTCCAGTCCTGGACTTACAAGGAAAGTTGAGCCCGAAAATGAAGCATGCGCATCCAAAGAGATACAAGAGGAAGGTCCATTTCCCCGCGATGTGAATGAAGTAAGCGTAGATCCTCCAATCACTTGTTCCGCGACTCGTGACATCTTGTTCTTCATCCTCGTCAGGCAGGCCGAGCTCCTGAAGCGTCTCCTCGGCGAGTTCGAACTCTGGTCGAACCGTGGTCCCCTGCACTATGCCAGATAGTCGTTCTATGTAGCCTACAGAGGTCGACAAAGAGTCCCTTGTGCCTTGCTCGGCAACGGTCCCATCCTTGTTCAGAATAACAATATAGTCTGCATATTGCACATGGTTGACTTTTCATTGTTGTCGTTTGTTAGCCAATAATCTCTACCACTGCCTATTTGACTACAGCTACTCACTCGAATTCGTAGTTAGCACCACGGTAGTCTGTGACGATCTCAAGAGCCCACTAGGGCCGAAAACTGCATCAAGAATGCTTGCTTCGGTGGCTCGGTCAAGACCGGTGAGCACGTCATCAAGTACCATGACTTGATTTCTAGAGTAAAGGGCTCTTGCTAACGACTGGGGACGGCAAGCTGTTAGCGACGCACACGTACACATGTTCGCCAGTGGACACATGATTGCTCACAAGACGCATTTGCTGCCCTCCACTAAGTCTGGAGCCCCTAGTTCCCACGTTGGTTTGATCCCCGTCTCGTAATTGCTCGAAATCCGCTGAGAGCGCGCAGGCTTTCACCACAGTATTATACCAGGGCTTGTCCCACCTAGACATTCCAATGATGTTGTTTTGGATGGTGCCCCAGGTGATCCATGGAGACTGTGGACAGAATGCTGCCCTTGAGAATGATGTCGAGACTGTTCCGCTAGTTACAGGCATTTCTCCAAGGATAAGTCTCAGCAGAGTTGATTTGCCGCATCCTACTGGTCCCACCACCACGGTCGTTTTGCCGCGGCTAATTTCGAGATTTATGCCATTGAGAATGGATGACTCGGCAGAATATCCAGTTGTGGCGTCTTTGATAACAATGGCAGCATTTGTGTCGCCAAGTGCGGACACAGATCCTAGAGGTACTGCTTTTGGTTCTCCGAAACCAAGCGACGTCTCGGAGGAGGAGTCCCTTTCGAGATTCTTCCTAGTTTCCGGAGTGTCTCTGGGATCTTCTCTTTCTTCAGATGCTAGATGTTCTTGTATGCGGTTAAAAGAGTTAATAATTGTTTGAATATCTTCAAAACCATTCAGAATAAATGTTAAAGGCTGGACCTGGAGCGAAAAAAGAGACAATGCCGAGAATGCGATTCCTTCTGTCAATGTCGTAGTATTGTTCGATCGCGCAAGAAGAATGAAGACTCCAAACCCCCATACGGAGGAGAAAGCATCGGACGTGTATGCTGTAGAGTCGATTTCGTCAACTGGGTTTCCATCACCGCATGAAAACGGGAGTACTCACATGTAACGGCCTCCAAGACAGTAAAGATACGATGGCGGCGTGACGCACCAATTTCTAACGATCTGAGGCTCGAAATGACGTTGGACATGACGTTTGTTAGGCCAGTCATCTTAATTGCCTTCATCGAACCCAGCATTTTCGTCGTCACAGCCAAACGTCTCTCGATAGCTTCCAACCATGGGACGTTTGCATTGCCTGCGGCGGCGGCTATAGGTATCCCTAACACTAGGCATACTTTTGAGAAGTCATGTTAGCCCACTTCGCTTACAATGAGAGTAGAAATGTATTCTTTGACGGGCATTCGCACCAACTACATGGGCGGTTGCAGCCGCCATGGCGACACCGAGCAGTCTGTACAGTAGCCACATGGACAATGCGATTTCGATGAAACTGGAGTAAAACTCGTGCACAAGCTCCAGACTCAGGGCAATGCGATCAATATCAGCGCTCATCAATGTGATGGCTTCGGCATCGGAAATCTTGGTAGCACTCATACGAAGAGTCTTGGAAAAGATGAGGGAAATGAGGCTGCCGCGGAACATTGTGAGGAGGCGATACGTCTTGTGCTGATATGCAGTAAAGGTTGCCTTGCGGTGGTTTGCTGTCAGTACTCTGCCGTTTGCCAGAAAAAGAGAAAAACGAGGACAGTTCTCGTACAGCTTTCCCAATATACACAATAGCGTATGCGCCTATCAGTCCATAGGCGAACTCTTTCCTGGACGACTCAACCGGTTCTGCCGTGAAGTCAAGGACTCTTTCCAGTAGAAATGGCTGCGCAAATGTGAAGCCGATGCAAGCCAAGCGCGGTACCACACCGGCTAATAAGTCCCATTTGTAATGAAGGAGAAATGTCCAAAGCAGAGCATTTTTCTTGGACGCATCCACTGCAAGTGATGGTGAGTATTGCGGTTTACTATGTCAATCACTCAGCTGGAGTACCGAGACGCACCTCTGTTCCATTTCTCCACGAGCTCTGTTGGATTTGCCGTCTTGAGAAGCTCCGTATCGAGGACCGGTAATGAGTTTATGCTGATCAAGTTGCGGAACCCTTTCATGAAAAGGCTATTCAGCCACCAAAAGAGTACTCTATTATAGACACTGCCCACTGCCTCTGGAGAAGCATCTTGCCACGCGGGCAGGAGTAGCCGCCGCTTCTCCGTCAGCTCCAACAAAAAAATGATCAGCTTGACGCAGAAGCTGGCCAGATTGACTTTGGCAACCGACTGGCTGCCGGGAATAAAGAACAGGGTGCGCACACGTGCGAGATCCAGCAAGATGGAGATGCCCAGATAGATGGTAATGGGCGTCGATGGACGTAGTGAGCGCGTGTGCTCCAAGTACGACAAATTGGCAAATAGTATGAAGCCCGCAATTGTTAATGAAACCGTCGCCAGAGTGGTCTTGGTTGAAGGGGCGGCCGAACTGGCCCATAACGCCAGAAGCACAATTTGAAGCGCGATATAAACCGAGAAGGTCATCTTGACAAGCCGCGATTAGCCGCGATTCTTGCCGCTCTGCAACCATGGAGCAAAAAAAGGCAGAAGGTGAATTACCAGTTTGAGAAGGAAAAGCCATGATCTCTGTGCCTTTTGAGGGCAATTCCAGAGGGCTGATACACGTAGTAAAGCCAGAAGAACTTGGAGATATTAGTTGTCAGGGCGCCTCTGCCGAGTACGGCGAGATCCAGAACGAAGCACAAGGGGGAAAGGGCCAGCATACTTGCGATGCCAAGGGGCAGGACTGTTAGAATGGTCTCCTCAAAAAGGAGCGTAAAATCGAAGCCTCGCAAGCAGGATTCGGCGACGGCAGCGCCAAAGACATCCTGAACCTGGATGGAGCAGGGAGCCGCGGCATCAGACATGATCAACGCAAGGTCTGCTTGTACGACATGAAGCAATCATACAAAGACAAGGACAGTGGTGAATCAACCTAGGATATTAAGGCACGCCAAACTGGGCCAAAGATCGATGCCAAATCGCGGCCACCCAGACAGCAGTGCTCACGGGGAGAGAAGGGCGAAATCAGTCAGAAACATGGACGCCACTGGGCTCGACCCACAGCGACAAGCACCAGACAAAGAATATAGAAACAAATGCATACATACATATGCGTCCATTGCCTAGTACCAAGACACTAATGCAGCCAGGGCCAAGGGGTGAGCAACGACGAGTGCTGGATCGGCATTGCGGTCTCGGTAGGGCATTATCGTACCATGTAAGACAATCCCGTCATTCCCCGGCCTCCCTTTTCTGCTTCTGATTTGATAAAAAAATTTCCTGCATGTGGAGCCGAAGAATCAAGCTTCGGATTGTGGCGGCGACGGAATAAGCATGAGCATGCTCTCTGCTTACTAGCTTACGTACGTCTTTCTGCCCGGCAGCCAGATCACGACCATTCGAGTCCGAGAATGCTGACGCTTTTCAGACTTGTTTCTTTTTTCACCTGTCCGGCACCGTTTAGTACCCTTTGATCTTGATTGACTCTGCGTGACGCGGACGAGGCAAAGATGACGAGCGATACTTTTTGAAACATGGTCTTGACCACGGCTCGATTCGTGGCAAGATTCATGACACTGGCGCGACTTTGATGCCCGAATTTTATTCTTCAGTTGTACATTTATTCTTTGCATTGCGTCAAGGCATCTAATTCACATCTAGGCTTCTAATTTTAATGTCACACCGCAGTCCCCGCGGCAGCGCGTTTTGAGTTCCAAGCTGTGTCATTGTTTGTGCGTTTGTCAAGGATTGCGCATCCTCAGATAACTGGAATCTCAGCAGTAAACATGCCATCATGATTTTAATCTCTGCAAGTGCAAATGCTTTCCCCAGGCACAGGCGTGCGCCGTATCCAAATGGCATGTAACAGGACTCCATGGCTCTCAGCTGGGCCGTATCGGCTTGTAGCCAGCGATCAGGTCTATACTCGTGCGGTTCGGCAAATGCATCGGGAGAACGATGTATTGCTGCTGTCGAAGTCGAGATGATAGTCTATGCCACGGCCTTTTAGTCTATGAAGGCCAAGACGCAGTGGGTATCAAGATCAAATACACAACGCGACATACGCGGGCAAGAGGGGAAAGAGGGGGAAGAAAGCAACGTACACCGGCTGGAATCACAACATTATCGTAGATTTTCGTCTCAGGCACTACTCTTTCTGCACGTCCGCTTGAAAGCGGGTTCAGTCGACTGGACTCCCGGATACAAGCGTCGAGTACCTCTGCAGAGTTGATATCGGCAAAAGATGGAAAACCATCGTCACACAGCGGCTTTGTAAGAAGCTCTTGGCGAATTTGGTGCTGCCACTGAGGATGACACGCCAAATCCCAAAGAGCATAAGTGAGAGCTAGGGCAACTGTAGTCTGTGCTGCTTGGATATTATCCAATAATTCAGCACCCATCCAGGAAAAGGGAAGCGGCTCGCCGTGCTCGGTGCGCGCCTCATATAACTGGCCCATGAGAGTACCGGCCACAATGGTATCGGGCTTCTCCAACGAGGAGGTGAGCTTGGCCATGTTCCATTCACTAAGCCGTTCCTCGGCCGTGAGAAAGTTGGGGTTCCGAGAAGCTTGGCATATGGCTAATTTGACAAGCCTATAGATGTGGGGGAAGTTATACTGGAAGTTGTTCCACACTTCGCATTCTTTCCACCCATCCAGGATAATTCGCTCCTGCTGTGTAGGTTCGACTGTGCGGGCACAGTGATGAGGCCCGTAGATCAAGCGTGTAATGTTATCAAAGGAGTACATATTACACCTCGGCAAAATATCCAGAGTCTCTTGGGCCTGCGCGTCTGTCTCCAGTTGCCGCAAGAATAACAGCATCTGATGTCGAATAGGCTCCAGGACAGCAGGCTTATAGATTGACGTAGGCTGATAGAAGCTAAATGTTCGTTTACGGAGTCTCCGATGTTCTCTGCAGTCTAGGGTGCTAAATATGGGTCGCTCACCATACATGATGAAGTTGTTAAAATAAGCGCTCTTGGGGTGATATCCAGATGAAGTGTAGATTTGTCTCGTTACATTTGCAGTCGAGACTGAGACCTGTCCGGGAGCAATGAGGACGATGGAACCGTACTTTTCATGCCACTGGTATATCTTTTGATTGCGCTGTAGCATCATGTCGTGGTATATGATCCAAAACCCCGTGATTTTGCAGAGCCTTGGACCAGGGACATGGCTGTACGGTGAGAGCCATAGTGCGTATATGATGCGGCCGGCAGCAATGCTAAAGACTAGGAATGGTATAGAGAGCCTGAGCAGAGGAAAAGCAACAAGATGCAACAACTCCATGGTTTTTCTTACGCAGGCCTTGCCTTTTCCCCTTTGTTTTTTTTCTCGGTCTCATTATATTGATTCGTTATCGGAGGGGATATTTGTGAAGTCTAAATCAACAGACACTAGTATGGGTAAAGAGATGGTTGGTCGTGTCATACTACCACCAGAGTTTTTCGAATTCATGCTCCGAGTTGATGCCGGGAAGGATGGGGTGGTCCCCCCTGAATCGTGGGCAAATGATCCTAGTCTGTCATACGATTCCATATTGCAAATAATCTAGAAGAATCTCACAATTGGTGTAAGATGAGGCATGTCAATGTCGTCAGCCGGACCGTGGTGGTGACGCGTTCGTTAGCCCACCTCGAAACTCGGTTCACGTCGTTGAAAGTACGGGCCGGTGTTGCATTGGCAAAATGAACAGCAATAAGGTGAGCCTATTGCATCATAACTGTTACGTACAGTTCAACTCGTCAGGTTCCAGAATCGCGGAGCTCACTGTCCTGGGCGCAACTCTTGGTCTGTCGTGATGGCGATCTGACCCCCCACCCTTGGCATCGACATGCAATCTCGACCGCAACGGGACAAATCTTGCGGCGCCAATGATAGCGTCAACTGCCTCTCTTTGGCCAAGTTGGAGCCTCTGCCAAGCCGGACGGGTGGCGGCTCGGGATCCATCGACGACGACTGGATATGAACCCTGGCCTGTACCGTGTACGTCAGCCAACTGCTTACATGCAATACTATTGACATCCGATTTAAAGCACGCCACGGCGGGGGACGCGGGAGTGGCCTAACATTAACTTGACGGCACCACATGCCGCGCCCTAGACACCAGACCGGACTGTTTCTTCCATGCGTGGGGGCGACGAGTTGCTTCGGAGAGTCGAGCATTTCGTTGACATGTGCGGACAGTTTAGCGCTTATATGGAGAAGTATTGAGTGAATTACGACCGTCATCAGATTTATTGCATGAGCAACATGGGCAAAGCTGCTGCCCTTGCCTACATGACCCCTGCCGCTTCCCCGGTGCCTAGCAAGGCATACATGTAGCCTTTGCCGCAAATCTATTCCGGCAACTTTACATCAGCAGTGACCAGTCTCATCTCAATACAGCGCAGAGACAAGCGGGGCCAGCTCGAGACTGGACGATTACGTGCATCTGTGAGATTTTAGATGTTACGGGCAGCGGTTTCATACCATCAGACTTTTCACTGGCTGCCGCTGCTCTGTCTGTTATCATCGCTGCGGCTCTGCAAAAGGCGAACGCTTCAAGTCTTTTGCCCTTGTGCCGAGCACCCCCGAGGTCCGTCATGCCTAGTTGAATGCCCACGGAGTGAGCACTTGACGTCATGCTCAAGGCAGTGGTGGAAATAGTCAATATCGGTGCCGGTGGCCCGCGGTTCGGGGGCGGTCCTGCAGAAGCTGATGTGAGAGCCTCATGCAACATGCCTATTCATCTCCACACACGATTTGCCATCCTTCTCTCCGGCGTCGGATGCCTGCCGGGAGTCAGATGGTGAGGAAGTTTTGTAGATGCCGCTCGGCTCCGACAATGTAAAGGACTTGACTCCATTTTGAATTTGCTGCAGCAAGCTACATTGTCCGTGTCCTTGAACTTGTTGAGTTACTCGGGACACGAATCAATTCCATGTTTTGAACATCATTTGCAACAGTTACATCGCTCTTTTCCACGACAAACAACTCTGTGTGCGTTCGAGTAGTGTGCCGCTTGCTCACCAACATGGCTCCTCTTCTTGGCTACCAAAACCAAACTGTACCAAATGGCGCCTATGAAGAAGACGGAATTGCGCTTCATCGCCACCACAACATGGCTAGCCAGCAAGACCTCCAGACCATATGGCGCTGGAACAGTATTTTGCCCAAGGCTGAGGAGGCCCTTGTATACGATCTCATCGCCGAGACGGCCAGAAATCGACCCGATGCCTTGGCTGTATGTGCTTGGGATGGTGACTGGACATACCACGAGCTTGATACTTTGTCTTCGCTCTTGGCACATCAGCTTATTTGCCTCGGCATAGGACCTGGGTTGGTTGTACCCATCTACTTTGAGAAATCTCGGTTCACGTCCATCGCTATGCTAGCCGTGATGAAGGCAGGCGGAGCATCTGTTTTGCTCGACGTGAACCTGCCAGAGGAACGCCTGCAAGCTGTCATTGCCCAGGTAAACCCAGTATTGGCGCTATCATCGGCACTCATGCATGACTCGGCAAGGCGGCTCATCAGAAAACCGACCATGGTCATTGACGACGTCTATGTCGAACATTTGATAGATTTCCAGGCACCCGCCAAACTCCCGAGGGCCCGACCTTCGGATACATTGTATGTGGTTTTCACATCCGGCAGCACCGGCACCCCAAAAGGCGTCATTGTCACGCATTCCAATTTCAGTAGCGCAGTTAGATATCAGCAGAGTCTTCATGGCTTTCGCGAGAATTCCCGGGTCCTAGATTTTGCGTCGTATGCTTTTGATGTTTCCTGGTCGAATGCTCTGCATTCCTTCACTTGTGGCTCATGCCTCTGCGTGCCATCCGAGGCAGAGCGGAGAGATGATTTGGCTGGATGTATCCAGAGGTTCGGAATTACCTATGCTGATTTAACTCCAACAACGGCGGCAATTCTCCCGGAACAGAGCATTAGGTCCCTGAAAACCTTGGTGCTGGGCGGCGAAAGCCTGCCGCTGCAAATGGCCAAGCGATGGGCCGCCATGACTGAGGTCTTGAACCCCTATGGCCCATGTGAATGCACGCCAACATCCACCATAGCAACAGTCAACTCCGACAGTGTCGGTGCCAGTATTGGAAAAGGCGTGGGTGTTGTTACTTGGGTAGTCGACGCAGAAGACCTGGACGCGCTTGTCCCGATTGGTGGTGTCGGCGAGTTGCTTCTTGAAGGGCCTCTTGTTGGCGGTGGCTATCTTGGTGATGTTGAGAAAACCGCGGCGGCTTTCGTTGAAGACCCTGCCTGGCTACTGCGTGGTGCGCCCGGACAGCCGGGTCGCTGCGGAAGGCTATATAAAACAGGCGACTTGGTACGACAAAACACAGATGGTACCCTTGCCTTTGTTGCTCGAAAAGACAATCAGGTGAAAATCAATGGCCAGCGTGTTGAGCTGGGCGATGTCGAGCACCATGTACGGACAAACATTAGAGACGGCACCAATATTCAGATTGTGGCTGACATCATCACCACTCGGGATAGCAACAAAACACTGCTGGTAGTGTTCTTGCAGATCCCAACCTTGGCTGTCGTGGACGCACAAGGAGTACGTCAAACGGAGACGAAGAACATCACCGACGGCTTAGACGAGAAGCTCGCGCAGCAAATACCAACTTATATGATACCCTCTGCATATATACCTCTAGAGAGCCTTCCAGTCACAGTGACAGGCAAGGTCGACCGGCGAAGGTTGCGGGAAATGGGACGGGACCTGTCTTTGGGGGAGGTAATGCGGTTGAATGGGAATGGGGAACGCCAGCACCCCCTTCCTGATTCGCCATTAGAAAAACTACTCCAAGGATTCTGGTCGTCCATCCTTGGAATTGATGCTGAACTGATCAGGGCCGACGACAGCTTCTTGAAACTTGGCGGCAATTCCATTGGTGCCATGAGGCTGGTAGGGGCTTTGCGTGAGCAAGGACATTCTCTCGCTGCCGCTCACGTGTTGAAGTATCCCCGACTGAGTGATCAAGCAATGGTGATTGGCAAATTACCTGGAGCAGACAGGCAGCAGGGCATCAAACCGTATTCACTGCTGCGAGCTTCTGTGGATATTCAGGCAGCTCGAATCGAGGCTGCGAGGTTGTGTAAAGTGAGCACAGCCGCGATTACTGATATTTTCCCATGTACGCCTCTTCAGGAAGGCTTGCTAGCCTTGACAGCAAAAGGCGGGAACCATTATGTTGCGCGCCATCTGCTCGAGTTACAGCCATGGGTCGACATTTCGCGCTTTCGGGAAGCGCTGGCCAAGCTAGTGAGGGTGACTCCGATTTTGCGCACACGCATTGCAGACATCGCCGGCCAAGGACTGGTGCAAGTAGTCATCGACGAATCCATGTCTTGGTCACCAACGGAAAAGCTCGCCAACGTCGAGGAAGACACGGGTACGAGCAAGAAGCCCATGGTTGGCCTGGGCACGCCTTTGGTGCAGTTCGCCATGGTGAAGCGCCAGGACGACGAAGACGAAAGATTCTTCTCGCTGACCATCCATCATGCTCTATATGATGGATGGTCTCTGTCGCTCATGTTCGAGGCTCTGGACAAAGCGTACAGGGGAGAGACACTGTCACAACAGCCACCATTTCAAGGCTTTGTTAAGCATCTCAGCGGAGCCCATGACACCGCAGACGCAAACAAGTACTGGGAAACGCTGTTTGAGGACTCGGAAGCGACCATGTTCCCCGTGCTTCCATCGCCAAAATACCAACCTCGGTCGGACTCAACCACTACACATGTCGTCGAAAGCTTAGAGTGGCCCAAGATTGATGTGACGCCTTCGATAGTTGTGAGAGTTGCCCTAGCTGTATTGGCCTCCCAGTTCACCAACTCACACGATGTCGTGTTCGGAGTCACGGTAGCGGGACGGCAGGCGGCGGTGGCTGGCATCGAGAGAATGGTGGGACCTACGATTGCCACTGTCCCAGTTCGAGTGGTTTTGGACAAGACTCAGAGCATTGAGCGGCTTCTCCACCAGTATCAGGCACAATCCGTGGAGATGACGGCGTATGAGCAGACGGGCCTGCAGAGCATCCGTGGAGCAAGCACAAAAGCTGCGGCGGCTTGCGGGTTCCAAACCCTCTTGGTGGTTCAGCCCGACGATAAAGATGTTGAAGATGAAAGTGAGCTCTTTGTGAAACGAAGCCATGACGACCAAAACCGAGACCAGGGACTTGCCGATGTCGATCCTTATGCTCTTACTATTGAATGTGATCTCCGGGAACGAGGTCTAAGGTTCCGGATTGTATTTGATTCGAGCATATTGCCATCCGACCAGGTTGGCGGGTTGGCGATACAAATGGACCACATTATTCGGCAAATGTGTAATCCGACCAATCTTGACAAGAGTCTTGGGGAGATTGAGATGCTCGGCGAACACGACCTGCGGCGCATCTGGACTTGGAATGCTACGGTACCAGACACCGTGGAGACGCCTGTCCATGACATGATTGCAGAGACGACGCGACGGCAGCCCGATGCCGCGGCTGTTTGTGCATGGGACGGTGATTGGACGTACAGCGAGCTGGACAGCCTTTCAACTAGGCTTGCGCATGACTTAGCCAGGAGAGGTGTCTGTCCAGACGTCATTGTCCCGCTCTGGTTCGAGAAGTCGCGGTGGACGCCAGTCGCGATGCTCGCAGTTATGAAGGCGGGCGGAGCGTCGGTGCTGCTAGACTCGAGCCAGCCTGAGCAGCGTAGGCGAAATATTGTACGACAAATCAAGGCACCGCTGATTGTATCGTCAAAGACCAACCGAAAAGCTGCCAGCCAGCTCATAGACTCGGATCGGCCGACGGTGGTGGTTGATGATGAACATCTGGCCATGATGGGTGTGCCTGATAATGCTGCCCATCTGCCAGTCGTGAAATCTAGCAACAATGCCTACTTGATCTTCACATCTGGAAGTACTGGAACTCCAAAGGGCGCTGTTATGACACACGCAAACATTAGTAGTGCCGCCTGGCATCAACGACATGCCCAAGGTTATCAGCCGGACTCCAGGGTATACGATTTCACATCATACGCCTTTGACACGACTTGGTCAAACTTTATAAATATTTTCACGTGCGGTGGATGTTTGTGCATCCCGTCAGAAAACGAGCGAAAAAACGACCTGGTGGGCTCCATTCAGCGGCTACGGCCCAGCATTGTAGATTTGACCCCGTCGGCCGCGGCTGTTCTTCAGGATGACGTTATTAGATCGCTAAAAACGCTAATTTTAGGCGGTGAAAGAATGTCCACGGAGTACGCTAGACGATGGTCAGACATGGTAGACTTGAAGTCGCCGTACGGCCCGTGTGAATGCACCCCTACGGCAAGCGTGGCTACTATCACTCCCGACAGTGTTGATAGATTGACAATTGGAAAGGGTGTTGGCTTGGTCACTTGGGTCACCGACCCAGAAAGGGTTGATGTGCTCGTGCCTGTCGGCGCCGTTGGTGAGCTTGTGCTGGAAGGCCCCCTGGTTGGTGCAGGATATCTCGACGACCCGGACAAGACAGCGGCCGCATTTATAGAGAACCCCTCGTGGCTGCTTCGAGGTGCTGCAGGTCATCATGCTGGCCGCCGCGGGCGTTTGTACAAAACGGGAGATTTGGTACGGTATAATCCAGATGGAAGCCTCGTCTTTATCGGCCGTAAAGATTCCCAGGTCAAGATCAATGGCCAGCGGCTCGAGTTGGCCGAGGTAGAACACCACATACTGGAGCAAATCACCAAAGACGACGTACATGTCCGGGTTGTGGCTGAGGTCATTGTGCCTCGAGACGGGGTCAAGTCAACACTCGTAGCCTTCGTCACTGACTTGACTGCTGCTAGCGTCAAAGCCCTCCGGTTGAAGACGAAGGCGATCGTCGCCGGACTGCACGACAGTCTTGCCGCGCATATCCCGTCATATATGATACCATCCGCGTACGTGCCGATAGAAAAATTCCCCATGACGGCAACAGGGAAATTGGATCGGCAACGACTCCGGGCTTTAGGTGAAGCAATGACCCTAGAGGAGCTGATGGTGCTGAATGCGTCGAGTGATGAGCGGCGATTGCCCACTACGGAGACGGAGCAAAGTCTTCAAGCTCTCTGGTCACATGTGCTTGCTATAAATCCAGACAAAATCGCAGCAAATGACAGCTTCCTGCACCTTGGCGGCGATTCGATCGCGGCTATGAGGTTGGTGGCTTTGGCGCGCGATCAGGGGTTCTTCTTCACCGTCGCGGACATATTCAACCAACCGCAATTAAGTGAACTTGCTGTCGTTATGAAAACATGCCCTGAAACGAATTCCAATCAGGCTATTCAACCATTTTCTCTGCTGAAACGTGGCATCGATATCGGAACAGCTTGCAGGGAGATGGCGGTTGGCTGCAAGGTTGATGCCACCCAGATTGAAGATGCATTCCCTTGCACACCTCTGCAGGAGGGTCTCCTGGCTCTCACATCGAAACGAGCAGGTGATTACCTCGCCAGAAATGTTTTTGAGCTTCGTCCCTCTGTCGATGTCTCTCATTTCCAGGCTGCGTGGGAGAAAGTCGTGAAAACCACACCGATATTGCGAACACGCATTATTGATTTGGCTGGACAGGGACTGCTGCAGGTCATCATCAACCAGCCGACTCAATGGTCGTCTACGGTCGGAATGCCCAATCTTGACGCATATCGGCGTGCAGATGAGCAGCTGCCTATTGGCCTGGGTACGCCGCTCGTACGGTTCGCGGTTGTCGAAGACGATGATGAACACCGACGCTTTTTTGTGTGGACAATTCACCATGCGTTATATGATGGCTGGTCGATGCCACTTATTCTTGAAAAGCTGGAGAAAGCTTACGAAGAATTCGAACAGCCAATATTGACCCCATCTCCTCCGTTTCAGCGGTTCGTGAAGCACATTATGGACGTGAATGACACGCGGGCAGCCCAATTCTGGCGTTCCCAATTCGAGGAATTGGAGGCACCCATATTCCCTGCACTCCCGTCCCCAAATTACCAACCAAGGACCGATGCGGTATCCGTGCATCATGTTGAGGGGATTGAATGGCCCAAGGTCAACGCAACGGCTTCAACGGTGCTACGGGCGGCCTGGGGCATCGTCGCTGCTTCTTATACTAACACAGATGACGCGTTATTCGGAATGACTACAACGGGGAGGACAATGAACATACCGGGTATTGACCAAATAATCGGGCCAACAATCGCGACGGTGCCTGTACGAATGGCAATTGACAGAAAAAGCACCCTGGAGCATTTTTTGCTCCAGGCACAATCGCAGACTGTAGAACTGACTGAATATGAGCAGAGTGGACTGCAGCGAATCCGCCAGTCAAGCCAGAAAACTAACGCCGCATGCCAGTTTCAGACGCTGCTTGTAATACAAGGTAAGGAACAAGGTTGCGTCCCGCATAGTAGACTATTCATCGCGACCGGAGGCGACAGTGATGAAGACGACGACGCGTTGGCCGAGTTTGACACGCACGCCCTGACTCTTGACTGCGACCTGGAAGCACATGGAGTACGCTTGCGATTTGGCTACGACTCAAATGTCATTTCCGCCACACAGCTGGAGAGACTCGCAAATCATCTTGATCAGGTCCTCCGTCAGCTATGTGATTCAGCCAACATCAAAAAAAGTGTAGCCGAAATCGAAACCATCAGTCACCGGGACCTCGAGGATATTTGGGGCTGGAACAGTAAATTTCCCGCGACTATCGAGACACCTATACACGAACTCGTAACAGAAACCGTGCGAAGACAACCAGAGTCTCTCGCAGTTACTGCCTGGGATGGTGACTGGACTTATGCTGAACTTGATCGATTGGCAACTCGGCTTGCCTGTCACCTGGTTAGCATAGGCGTTACACCGGACTCGATTGTGCCACTTTGTTTTGAGAAATCTAAATGGACGCCCGTGACAGCATTAGCCGTCATGAAGGCGGGCGGCGCATCTGTCTTGCTGGATTCTACTTTACCTGAGGATCGCCTTCGTACAATGACGCAGCAGGTCGAGCCAAGTCTGATATTATCGTCGTCGTCCAACCAGCAACTGGCCGGTCGGCTGACTGACCAGCCGACGCTCGTGATAAACAGCGAATTCTTGTCACAATTACGGAGTGGCCCGTCATCCGCGAAACAGCTCCCCGAAGTGAAGCCTTGGAATAGGCTTTACGTCGTCTTCACATCGGGCAGCACAGGAATACCAAAGGGTGTTGTCGTTACGCACTCTAACCTCAGCAGCGCTTTGCGAAATCAACACGGTGCCCACGGCTTCCAAGCCGGCTCACGCGTCTACGATTTCGCGTCATACGCGTTCGACGTAGCCTGGGCCAATATGCTCGGTGCGTTTGAGTGCGGCGCGTGCCTCTGTATCCCATCGGACGAGGAGCGCCAAAGCGACCTGGCAGGCTCCCTTGGTCGGTTCCAGATAACGCACGTGGAGATGACGCCTTCGGCGGCCAGACTGCTTCCGAGAGAGGTTCTGGAGTCGTTGGACACGCTCATCCTCGGAGGCGAGCGACTTTCGACAGAGGACGCCAGGTGCTGGGCGTCACAGGTGAAGCGCTTGAGGAATTCGTACGGACCATGCGAGTGCACGCCAACATCGACGGTTGCAAACGTGGATGCCAACGTCGAGAGTGGCGCAACCATCGGAAGGGGCGTTGGGGTCGTGACATGGGTGGCTGATGCGGCCACGGGGGGGTCTCTGGTGCCGGTGGGCGCCATTGGCGAGCTGCTTCTCGAGGGACCCTCGGTTGGCCCTGGCTATCTCGACGATGCAGAGAAGACGGCGACAGCCTTCATCAACGACCCTGCATGGCTGCTTCGAGGCCTACCGGGCCTGCCTGGCCATGGCGGCCGCCGCGGCCGTCTATACAAGACAGGCGACTTGGTACGATACGACCAGCACGGAAACCTAATCTTCATCGGTCGCAAGGACTCCCAAGTCAAGATCAACGGCCAACGCGTAGAGCTGGGCGAGGTCGAGAACCACATCGCCGGCTCTCCATCTGTTCGCCAAGCTGTATCGCTGCTCCCCAAGGCGGGCTTGTGCCAAGGTCGGCTCGTCGGAATATTCAGCTTGAACGAGTATGAGCATGGCGATTCTGCGTCCCCAGGTGTTGAGCTCGTGCCGCGCAACTCCAAGTTACCAGTCCAAGACTTCATCACAAACCTGCGAGCTCATTTGGACGCCGCAGTTCCCGCTTACATGGTCCCTTCTGTCTGGGTCGCAGTCAAGAATATCCCACTGAATGCATCTGGAAAGCTGAATCGCAAGCTTGTCGAGGAATGGCTTGCTGCTTTGAGCCCCCAAACATACGCAGATATCAACCAGACTTCTCGTGGCCCTGCGGCTCGAGATGCGGCCAACGACGCAGAAGACGTGATCCGCGATGCCTGCAGCGTCGTTTTAAATGTACCGAAAAAGGACGTCAACCTCGAGCGATCCTTCATTGCCAACGGTGGTGATTCCATCTCTGCCATGAGACTAAGCCCTCAGTGCCGTGCTTCTAATGTGAACTTCTCGGTGGCAACATTACTCAGGGCCAAGACGCTGGCCGAGGTTGCGCGACTGTCGACAGGTACAGTCGCCTCGATACCATCCCAGATGGAACAAGTCAACACAGTCTTTGGTCTTACGCCCATCCAACAGTGGTTCTTCTCCCAAGTTTCCGACAATATCGACAATCGTGACTTTTACTGTAACCAGAGCTTCTACGTCAAAATCACGCGTCCAGTGTCGCCCGACAAACTCTCGGCGGCAATCCTCAAGATTGTTCAATGCCACTCTATGCTCAGAGCGCGATTTGAAAAGACAGGAAACGGCTGCTGGATGCAGCGGGTGCTGGAGCCCGCCGATGGTGTCTACCACGTTGGATTCTCGCAGCTCCAGTCAATATCGGACATGGAGACTATGGCCATGCGCAGGCAGCGAGAACTGAATGTCCAACATGGTCCTGTCTTCTCCGCAGATCTATGTGACCTGCCTTCTGGTGGCCAATATCTCATCATGGTGATGCACCATTTGGTCGTTGATCTGGTTTCCTGGCGCATCATTTTAGATGACCTGGAGATGCTGCTCAATGGCAGCGGCACCCCTCAAGCCGGCTTGCCGTTCCAAGTCTGGGGCCATCTCCAGTCTGAGAGGGCTCAAACATCTGCGCTGGATCCGGAGCATGTGCTTTCCACAGAAGGAGTCCATAATAACCTGTCTTTTTGGAACTTCAGCGACACCACGCCAAATGCAACCCGAGATCACATTGAGGCAAATATCAAGGTGGATCACGATACAACGGCCCTTTTACTTAAAGATGCCAATAATGCTTTCAATACAGAGCCAGTTGAGCTCCTTCTCTCAGCTATTTGGGACGCCTTTTTCCAAGTCTTTCAGGAGCGCAATGGACTGACCATATTCAACGAGTGCCATGGCCGTGAGCCTTGGAGTGCGGACATTGACCTGTCTCGAACCGTTGGATGGTTTACTACCATGGGCCCGATTCATGTTTGCAGGAACAAGCTGTCTGCGAATATTGTTAGACTTGTCAAAGACTCGAGAAGGCGTCTTCCGGCAAACGGCTGGGCTTATTTTGCTTCGCGATACTTGAACCCCAAGGGAATGGATGCTTTCAAATCCCACGATTCTACTATGGAAGTCGTCTTCAACTATCACGGTCAATTTCAGCAGTTGGAGCAAGAAAATGCTCTTTTTGAGGTTGCCAGCTTGAATGATGTGTCTGATGTAGGGCCAGCACTTCCCGTGTCGTCCCTCTTTGAGATTAACGCAACTGTTGAAGGAGGGTGCACTCACTTCACTTTCTCTTGGAACCGCCACATTTCATACCAGCATCTTATCCGCAAGTGGATCACGCAGGTTGGTGTATCTCTACAAACTATATGTAGTCATCTTGCTGCCGCCAGAAAATCGTCAAGAACTCTCTGCGACTATGAGTTACTTGGCGTAGATTATGACGCACTTGAAGAGCTTGAAACCCGCACCCTTCCAAACATTGAGACCATCAACAACGCTGTAACAGGTGGCGTTTACCCATGCTCACCAATGGTGGATGGCATTCTTCTCAGCCAGCTTCGCGATTCGGCGGCATACCAAACCTCTAGTATGTTCGAGATCAAGTCTCACAGCGACTTCCCGATAGAGCTTGAGCATCTAGCCGAATCCTGGCAAGCCGTCATCGCACGCCACCCCGCTCTGCGTAGTGTCTTCATTGAAGGGGTGGGCTCAAATGCAGCATACGATCAGGTCATCTTGGAGTCATTTCGCGGAGATGTCATGCTGGTCCACAGCGCAGATAAATCGTCAGCGATGAGGTTGCTTAAAGAGGCGGCACCAGCGGTGTATCATCACCAGCCAAAACCTCCCCATCGCCTCACGCTTTGCAAGATTGCAGATGAATCCCACGTTATCGGTCTACTAGAAATGAGTCACGCCATCACGGATGGCGCCTCAACGGCAATAATAGTCAAAGATTGGACGAGTGCATATCTAGGTACGCTGGGTGCAGGATGTCTTTCGGACACCAGCCTCGACTTTGCTCGTGCACTGAACGAAACTCCGATCAAAGAAAAGATGCAGTACTGGAAGAACAAGTTGCTGGGCCTTGAGCCATGCTTCTTCCCTCAGCTTTTAGCCGTCGCGCAGCCCGGTAATGCAACGGCCATGGTCCATGTCGACATAACTGGAGAATCTTTTGCCAAACTCCAGGACTTCTGCGAAGCACAGTCTGTCACCCCCGCAAGTTTGTTTCAGACTGCCTGGGCTCTTACCTTGGCAGCTTACACAGGCAAAGATTCTGTATGCTTCGGGTATCTTGCTTCTGGCCGAGACCTATTCCCGGGCATAGAAAATTCCATAGGTGCATTCGCTAATCTACTTGTGTGTCGCGCCGACATTTCGCGGGAGGGGACGCAAGAGTGTTTTCTGAAAAGCATCCATCAGCAGGTTTTGCAGGACCTCGGCTTCCAACATTGCTCTTTAGCCGACATCCAGCATCAGCTTGATCTCCCCGCTGGACAAGCATTATTCAACACCGTCATGTCTTTCCAAAGAGATGACGAAGAGGCCGGAGAAGATGAGGAAAAACAGCATATCGAAATAGCCGAAATCGATGGGGAAGACCCGACCGAGGTAGGGAACGCAAGCAAAGACCTCCGGTTATAACCATCATCTCGCTGACATTTTTGAATAGTATGACATTTCTCTTAGTGTGTCTTACGGCATCAAGCAAGCAGGCTTTTATCTTGACTACCATCTATCTTGTTTATCTGAGCAGCAAGCACTTCGAGTGGCTTCACTAGTGAAGAATTTTGTTACTACCTTTGTCACAAGTGACAGCTCCTCGACTGCGGCAGAGTCACAAGTTACGGTGCAAGAATCCAGATTATTGGCCGATATGGACTCTATTGATCGACAGGATTTACTTGATATTTGGAATTGGAACAGCACCATCCCGGAGACAGCAAATGTACTAGTGCACGATATCTTTACTGAAACAGCACACCGCCAACCCGACGCCCCAGCCGTATGTGCCTGGGATGGTGACTGGACCTACGCAGAACTCGACGAAATATCTAACCGATTAGCTAACTATCTTATTGATAAGGGCGTTAAGCCTGATATAATTGTCCCTCTTTGCTTTGAGAAGTCCCGGTGGACTCCGGTGGCACAGATGGCAGTTATGAAGGCTGGAGGCGCGTCGCTTGCAATGGACGCCGCACAGCCCGTTGAACGTCTCCGTACCATTGTACAACAAGTTGATCCTGTAGTGATACTGTCATCTTTTTCCGCTGCCGAGGTAGCTAGCCAGCTAACAGAGCGGCCCGTGGTCGTCGTCGATAATGAACACATGGCAGACCTGAGCCGGCGACCTATGCCGCGTACAAAAGTCCAACCTTGGCATAAACTTTACGTGGTCTTTACGTCTGGCAGTACAGGAACTCCCAAGGGCGCAATAATAACGCATGCGAACTTTAGCAGCGCTATCCGCTACCAGCAAATCGGAATGGGGTTTACAAGCTCCTCTAGGGTATATGATTTCGTCAAGTATGCATTCGATATCTCATGGTCAAACGTCCTGCATACTCTTACGGCAGGTGGCTGTCTTTGCATACCCTCTGACTCAGAGGCCCTCAATGACCTTGCAGGCTCATTCCGACGTTACAATGCCAATTTCCTCGACGTCAATCCGTCAGTTGCAAGTACGTTACAGCCGTCGGAGATGGCAAGTTTAAAGCATTTGCAATTTGGAGGAGAGTTTTTGTCCGGTCACATGGCCTCGGAGTGGGCAAAGCACTGCGAGACTCTTAATACATACGGGCCTGCCGAGTGTAGCATCAGGGCAACATTTGTTCCGATGAGTGAAAACACGGGTGCCACTCCTAGTATTGGAAGTGGCATCGGCTTGAACACATGGCTGGTTAACGTCTCGGATCATGACCAACTGGTTGCTATTGGAAATGTGGGAGAACTTCTATTAGAAGGTCCGTTAGTTGGCGATGGCTATCTCGGTGATGCCGAAAAGACGGCAGCTGCATATATTATTGACCCCAAGTGGCTTGTCCGCGGTGCTCCTGGTTATCCAGGCCGTCACGGACGGTTATATAAGTCAGGAGACTTGGTGCGCTATAATACGGACGGCAGTCTCACCTTCGTCGCTCGCAAGGACTCCCAAGTCAAGATTAATGGTCAACGCGTGGAGCTCGGCGACGTCGAATATCATGTGCAGGCGAATGTCGCCGACGGCGTTGAAGTCGAGGCAGTAGCCGATGTGATTACACCCAGAGAGAGCAGCAAGTCAATACTGGTAGCATTCCTGCACATCAAAGATCGCCTTGCCATAGAATCAAATGGGCTGCAGGCGGAAATGAAGAGAGTGACTGCAGGGCTGGAGGACAGGCTTTCTAAGCGTGTCCCAGCGTACATGATTCCCTATGCTTATATTCCTGTCAAAGATCTTCCCAAGACTGCGACAGGAAAACTGAATCGCCGTCAACTCCGCACAATGGCATCAAGCATGACTCTAGAAGAGCTCATGGCGCTGAACATGCCGGGCGGCGTGCGGCGGGCACTGACTTCGGATACAGAACGACAACTTCAGAGTATTTGGTCATTTCTACTAAGAATTAGTGCCGATAAGATTGGACCCGACGATAGCTTCCTACGTATTGGCGGCGACTCAATCGGCGCAATGAGGCTTGTCGGAGAGGCACGTAAACAGGGACTATATATCACTGTTGCGGATGTCTTCAAGAATCCTCGACTAAGTGACCTAGCTGCAGTAATCCGCAAGCTTCCGTCAGAAGCCACCGAAACTATTCCACCCTATTCACTACTAAAGGCCAGTATTAATGTCCAGGCCGCGCGAGACGAGATTGCATCTCTTTGCGACATAGATGCTACACAAATCGAGGACATTTTCCCATGTACTCCGCTGCAGGAAGGTCTATTAGCGTTGACCGCCAGGAGATCAGGAGATTACATTGCTCGATACGTCTTCGAATTACGCCCGTCAGTTAATATCGATCAATTTGAGGCAGCGTGGCACGAGGTAATCAGGACAACACCGATTCTACGAACTCGAATTGCAGACCTTACAGAACAGGGCCTTGTACAAGTCATCATAAATGGACAGACGAGCAGCTCCTTCAGTAAAAAGTCAAACAGCCTTGCTGCATACCATGATGCAGATGAGACGCTTCCCATTGGACTGGGGACTCCGCTGGTGCGCCTCGGATTCGTACATGAGAATCACAATGAACCCGAAAAGCGGTTCTTCGTATGGACAATACACCATGCACTCTATGATGGATGGTCAATGCCGCAAATACTCGAGAAACTAGAAAGGGCGTATCGAGGAGAAGAGCCCCTTTTACACGAGCCTTCTTTCCAACTCTTTGTTAAGCACATCATGGATATAGACAGTGATTCGTCTTCCAAGTATTGGAAAGCACAGTTTGATGGCTCCGAAGCAGCCAACATCTTTCCATCACTGCCTTCGGCAACGTATCAGCCAAGATCGGACACACTGACATTGCACCCTATTCGAGATCTTGCATGGCCAAATACGGACATCACTCCATCAACGATAGTGAGAGCTGCTTGGTCGATACTGTCGGCCTTGTATGTTGATTCCACCGATGTTGTTTTCGGTGTAACAGTGACTGGAAGGCAAGCTGCTGTACCCGGAGTCGACCAGATGACCGGGCCAACGCTCGCAACGGTGCCAGTTCAAGTAGCGTTGGATTGGCATGAGAGCGTCGAACAACTATTGCAACGACTACAGTCTCAGGCTATTGACATGACAGCTTTCGAGCAAACAGGACTGCAAAGAATCCGACGAGTAAGCGCCAAAGCAAAGCAGGCATGCGAATTCCAAACACTCTTACTCATGCAACCGGCCGAGAGAAATGACAACGAAGAAGCGCATCAGCTATTTGTGGATGAAAATGAGGGTCAAAGTCAAGACTCAAAGGACTCGTTTGCCGAGTTTGACACCCACGCAATTACTATTGAGTGCCGGCTTCAGCGGGATGGCCTACAGCTACAAGTCGGATTTGACTCACACGTCATTGGCGAGCAACAGATAAATAAACTGGTGTTACAGTTGGATCATATCATTCGCCAGATATGCCATTCCTCTGGCGATGGCGAGATCAAGGTTGCCGACCTCAAAGCCCTTGGTCGCCATGACTTGGACGAAATCTGGGGCTGGAATATGACCGTGCCTGAAACTGTCGAGAAAACAGTCCACAGATTAATCGAGGATACGGCATCTACATGGCCTGACTCCCCGGCGGTATGCTCGTGGGACGGCGACTGGACATACGATGAGCTAAATGACGCCTCGAGCCGCCTTGCGTGTCATCTCGTCCGTCTCGGCGTGGGTCGAGGTACTATTGTACCTCTATGCTTTGAAAAGTCGCGATGGGTTCCTGTTGCAATGCTTGCAGTGATGAAAGCGGGCGGAGCATCTGTCGCTTTAGACCCGACCCTTCCTGAAGACCGTTTACTTTCGATCGTACGACAAATAAAACCATTGCTGACAGTCTCGTCTCCGGCGAACCGTAAATTAGCTGGGAAACTTGCTCCGGATCAGTCTATCGTGATACTGGACGACAAACAACTTGCTCAACTCCCGCAAACGGTACAAGAGATACTCCCGCTTGTACAGCCGTGGGACAAGCTCTATATTGTATTTACCTCTGGTACAACTGGCACGCCAAAAGGAGTCGTAATCACCCATTCCAACTTTAGCAGCGCTCTGAAACACCAACACGGTGCACACGGCTTCAACGAACATTCAAGAGTGTTCGACTTCGCATCGTATGCCTTTGACGTGGCCTGGTCTAACGCATTATGTACACTAGAGTGCGGAGCATGTTTATGTATCCCATCAGATACTGAGCGACAAGATGACCTTGCGGGAGCTATGGAAAGACTCAGGGTCACTCATGCCGAGTTGACGCCATCCACGGCTAGTATTCTTCCGCCGGCCACCTTGGAGGCACTGCACACCCTCATTCTTGGCGGCGAGAAGGTTTCTGTAGAACAAGCCAAAGTTTGGGCTCAGTTGGTCCATTTAAAGAATTCTTACGGTCCATGTGAGTGTACGCCGACATCTACGGTGTCGTGTGTTGACCCCGATACAACGATGATTGCATCGAGCATCGGTAGAGGCATTGGTGTAAATACATGGTTGGCCGATACCGTCTCGGCCGAATCGCTTGTCCCGGTGGGAGCCATCGGTGAACTTCTTTTGGAAGGCCCATTAGTTGGTCCCGGTTATCTAGATGACCCTGCGAAAACAGCAGAAGCTTTTGTTGAAGACCCGTCATGGTTACTTGGTGGTGGCGGACCAGATCACCCTGGTCGTCGCGGACGCCTCTACAAAACGGGAGATCTTGCACGATATAACACGGACGGAAGTCTCACATTTGTGGGACGTAAAGATGCTCAAGTCAAAATCAATGGCCAACGTGTAGAGCTAGGCGAGATCGAGAGCCGCATTTCACTCGAATCCTGGATTCGACAATCGGCGTGTATACTTCCTACATCCGGCCCATGCATCAACCGACTCGTTGGCGTAATTGCCATTGTCGGACCGGACCGTGAAAGCCGGGGCATATCGCCTATAAAACTAGATGCCAGGTCCCATGATGAACAGACTCAGCAACGTGTCGAGGTTCTCCGAGCTCTTTTGGAGAATACTTTACCTGCCTACATGGTTCCCACTATCTGGGCTGTCGTCCACGATATACCTCTCAGCGCATCTGGCAAACTCGACCGCAAGCGGCTTGAGGAGTGGCTTGCTAACATTGATGCAGAGACATTTAGTACCATCTCGGGTATTGGGCGCAGTCCAGGGCACCGAAAACCCAAGAATGAAGCAGAAGATGTGCTTTTAAGAGCGTGCAGTACAGTTCTAAACACCCCGATAGAGAATATCGATTTACAACGATCATTCGTAGCGAACGGAGGTGATTCCATCTCAGCTATGCGTCTTAGTCCTCAATGTCGCGCTGCCAACGTTGTCTTCTCTGTTGCAAACTTGCTCAAAGGACGGTCGCTCGCTGAAGTTGTACAATTATCAACAACGGTCACCACTCCTACAGTATCACGAACCGAAAAATTCGACGTATTTTTCGACCTCTCGCCGATCCAACAGTGGTTCTTCGGTCAATCGCCACCTGATTTGGTCAACACGAAAAGCCATTATTGCAATCAAAGCTTTTATGTTAGAGTTGCACGTCCAATCTCCACAGACACGCTTCGCAGTGCAATTGACACAGTCGTGGAGAAGCACTCCATGCTTAGAGCACGCTTTGCAAGGATTGAGGGCAAATGGATGCAGCGTGTCGTTCAACCCGACCAGGGCCTGTATCACTTTGAGTCGTCGCAACGAGATTCGATGACTGACATTGAGTGTCTGGCCGCAAAGAGGCAGCAAGAGCTGGATATCGAGAATGGCCCCGTCTTTTCAGCAGATGTCTGCATAACCCCGGCTCCCAAATCGGATCAATATCTTATCCTCATTGCACATCACTTGGTTGTTGACCTTGTGTCGTGGCGAATTATCCTAGAAGACCTAGAGGTCCTACTGGCTGGTGGCGCCCTGCAAGAAGAGGTTCCCTTCCAAGTATGGAACCATTTGCAAATAGAGAAGGCCGGCACACCGGAGCTGGATCCTGAAAACGTTCTTAATATCGACAAAGTCACTAATAACCTTGCTTTCTGGGAATTTACCCCGGATACCCCAAATACAGTGGGCGACCTCAAGGACAGGTCTCTGGTAATTGGTAGAGATCTCACTTTACGCCTTTTAAAGGACGCCAATAGTGCCTTCAATACTGAACCGGTGGACCTACTTCTGTCAGCAGTGTGGCACTCTTTCTTACAAGCCTTTCCTAGTCGTGGGGGCCTCACTATATTTAATGAGGGCCACGGCCGTGAACCAGGGAGTCTAGAGGTAGATCTCTCCCGCACGGTCGGTTGGTTTACTACAATGAGCCCCCTTAGGATTTCCCGTGACGAAGCTGACAGTGCCGTCAACATTGTGCGGCATGTCAAGGATATGAGGAGGCGACTGCCGTCCAACGGCTGGGCTTACTTTGCCTCCAGGTATCTAAACAGCAAGGGAATCAGAGCATTTGAATCACATGAGGCTACTACCATGGAGCTCGTCTTCAATTATCATGGCCAGTTTCAGCAACTAGAGCACGACGATGCCCTGTTTGACACCATTGTCCTAGACAAAACCTCTGATGTTGGGCCATCCTTACCCGCATCATCGCTCATTGAGATAAATGCTACAATCGAAGATGGAGTTACACAAGTCTTCTTTTCCTGGAATCGTTATATAGCCCACCAGGACTTGATCGACAAGTGGATTTCTCAGGTCAGCCCATCACTGCACGCTATTTGCGATGATCTTGGCTGTAGAGCACCCTCCAAGACCCTTTACGACTATGAGTTTCTCCATCTCAATTACAAGCAGCTCGACGACCTTCATAGCCATGTTATTCCTGAAATCGAGTCGACCAATAACACAACGGTAGAGGACATTTTCCCATGTCTACCTATGGTGGATGGCATGCTACTGAGCCAAATCAAGGAACCTGGGGCTTATGAGACTTCCGCCCTATATGAGATACGGTCCCCCATCGGTCATCTAATTAGGCTTGACCGGCTGGCTGAAGCTTGGCAGACTGTAATCGCTCGTCAGCCTGCTTTGCGAACGGTTTTTATTCCTGCTAGTGATTCAACAGCAGCCTTCAATCAAGTGGTCTTGCAGTCTTATCGTGGAGACGTGATTCTACTGGAGAGTGAGAACAGAACTTCAGCATTGGCAATGCTCAATAACCTACAGCCTGTGAACTACCGAAACATCAGGCCGCCACACCGCTTAGCAATGAGTTTTGTTCGTGAAGAGAATCTGGTTTTCTGTCAGTTAGAGGCCAGCCATACCATTACAGATGGTGCCTCGTCAGCAATCATTGTTGAAGATTGGATCAAGGCTTATACCGGCACCCTGGACCTTGACGGCATCAACGACGTCAATCGTGGTTTTGCACGGTTTTTAAAATCCGTGTCGGCAACGCACAGGATGGCATATTGGAAACGAAAGCTAGCAGATGCAGAACCTTGTTATTTCGAGCCATTAAACCATGTTCCCGACGTTTCCCAGGCCGAGCAGGGAGTGTGCTTCGCTTCGGCTGAAATAACTGGTGACAAGTTCACCCAAATCCTGCGATTTTGCGAGTCACAATCCGTGACACCTGCAAGCCTCTTCCAGAGTGCCTGGGCACTCTGTTTGGCAGCTTACACAGGAAAGGACAGTGTCAAGTTCGGCTACCTCGCATCCGGTAGAGATCTTCCAGTGTCGGGTATCACGGAGGCTGTTGGTGCATATGCTTCTATGTTGATCTGCCGAGCCGACATATCGCGTGAATGGACCAGCCCACAACTCGTACACCATATTCATGATCAAGTCATGGAGGATTTGGGCTATCAACAGAGTTCTCTAGCCGATATCCAACACCAACTCGGTATGCCCTCTGGCCAGTCACTATTCAACACGATTGTATCCTTCCAGAAGGAGGAAGAGGCGGTAGCAGAGGAAGCAGAAGCGCCGATGCTCACTTTTACTAATACAGACGGCGAAGACCCCACTGAGGTGAGTATCTGTATTCATCGCCTTTGTTTTGCCCCGCGATATTAATATTTTGTCAGTTCGACATTGGGGTCAGCTTTTCAATATCTGATACCACGGCATACTTATCTCTTGATGCCCGCTCTTCATGTCTGTCCAGTGAGCAGGCTAGCCGCGTCATTTCCCTCGTAAAGACCATATCAATTACTATCGCAGCCGACGGCATGCTCAATGGCTCGCTTGACGGAGGACATATATCTACTACATTATCAGACATCAGCTCAGTCAGCGAGGAGGATTTAGATGCCATTTGGCGTTGGAACAAGACAGTGCCGGAAGCTGCCAATGTCTTAGTTCATGAACTCATCGCCGAGACCATCGCCAAACAGCCCAACGCCCCTGCTGTGTGTGCTTGGGACGGTGATTTTACTTATTCCGAGTTAGATGATGCTTCATCTCGCCTAGCATTTCATCTCATCGGGTTAGGTGTTGGTCCTGAGGTTATAGTGCCTTTATACCTTGAGAAAAGTCGATGGATGCCAGTCGCGATGCTAGCTGTAATGAAAGCCGGCGGAGCATCTGTGGCGATGGATGTAACCGTCCCTAAAGAGCGCCTTCAAACTATTGTGCGGCAGATTAAACCAGCGCTAATCCTATCATCTTCTGCGACTAAAGACCTCGCAACACAGCTCACCAACCAGCCCATAGTGGTGCTGGATTCGGCACAGTTATCCGAGCTCGACTTACCCAGCCAGCCACTTTCGTCAAGTGTTCAGCCCGAAAATACCTTGTATATCAACTTCACATCTGGAAGTACGGGGCAGCCCAAGGGTGTTATCATTAAGCATGTCAATTTCAGCAGCTCCATCCGACATGTACGAGATCTGCATGGCTTCAAACCTACTTCACGTGTCTACGACTTCTCATCGCATGCTTTCGATAACATATGGTCAAATGCGCTACAGACGCTATCATGTGGTGCATGTTTATGCATTCCTTCCGAAACTGATCGAAGAAACGATTTGGCTGGTTCCATCAAGCGGCTAGGGGCCAATTTCATTGACATCACTCCCTCAACTGCAAGCATTCTCCCGCTGGAGACAATTCAATCTTTGGACCTGTTAATGGTTGGAGGAGAACGCCTCATACCAGATTCTGCAAAGCAGTGGGCTTCCGTCGTAGACCTCCGCAATGGTTATGGTCCTTGCGAATGCACACCTACCACTACGATTGCAGCCATAAGGCCAAATAGCTATGATATGACAACAATTGGCCGTGGTGTTGGAGTCAACACATGGGTTGTCGATGCTCATACAGGTACTTCACTTGTGCCAGTAGGCAGTATTGGCGAACTGCTTCTGGAAGGTCCGCTCGTCGGCGCGGGATACCTGGGAGATCCCCAAAAAACAGCAAACGTGTTTATCGAAGATCCCAAATGGTTACTACAAGGCACGGTCGGCAGAAAAGGCCGCCATGGCCGTCTCTACAAGACTGGCGACCTAGTTCGATATAATCCAGATGGCACCCTATCTTTTGTTGGCCGGAAAGACGCCCAAGTCAAGATCAACGGCCAGCGTCTAGAGCTTGGAGATATTGAGCATCATGTTGCTTCCAGTGTCACGGACTCTGCAGATGCACAAGTAATAGTAGAAATGCTTGTGCCTCGACAACACCACCAAGCCATGCTGATAGCCTTCATATGCCTTTCCGGGGCCGCGGGCAAAGATGTCAATGAGCAAGCATCAGATTTGCAGAGATTGACTGTGGGATTAAACGAAAGGCTTGCGAAGCTAATACCTCCTTATATGATACCTTCATCCTATGTCCTTGTTGACCACGTCCCTATGACGGCCACGGGCAAGACAGACAGGCGACAAATTCGTGCCATAGGAGAACGAATGACTTTGGAAGAGCTTCTAATTCACAGCTCGTCAACAAGTGGTGAACGTCGAAAACCGACTACGGAAATGGAACGACGCCTCCTAAGCTTGTCGTCATCTGTGCTTGGCATCAGTGTCGACAAAATTGGAATCGATGACAGCTTCTTACAGGTCGGGGGTGATTCTATTGGGGTCATGAAACTTGTTGCAGCGGCTCGTGAGCAAGGCATAGCTTTGACCGTTGCGGATATCTTCCAGACGCCCCTCCTGGGCGACTTGGCTGCGAAAGCTCGCCGGGTATTCGAGTCAGATAGAATGGATGTCGAGCCATTCTCACTACTAAAGACTGGTTGTGAACTTCAAGAAATACGCCAAGAGGCTGCCGCCTTTTGTGGAGTAGATGCCTCACACATCGAGGATGTTTTCCCTTGCACTCCGCTTCAAGAAGGTCTTCTGGCTCTAACAACAAAGCGCCCAGGGGACTATATCTTCAGGTCTATCCACCAGCTCCAAAGCACTGTTGATGTGCAGCGTTTCCGAGAATCTTGGAAACACTTGGTATCAATAACCCCGATGTTACGTACACGAATCGTGGATTTATCCAGTCAGGGCCTGGTACAGGTTGTCATTGCTCAGCAGCAGATCCATTGGTTGGGTGAGAACTACACAAGCTTGGGTGCCTATCAGCATGCGGATGAGCAATTAACAATCGGGTTGGGCACGCCTCTCGTGCGAGTCGCTATTATCAATGAACAAGACGAGCATTTCTTTGTTTGGACGATGCATCATGCGCTATACGATGGGTGGACAGTTCCGCTTCTGCTGGAGAATCTAGAGAAGTCATATATAGGCGAGGCAAATCTCCAGCATCCGCCCCCGTTCCAGCTATTTGTTAGACATTTACAACGCGCGGATAGCAAACAGGCTGAGGAGTACTGGAAGAAACAGTTTACAGAGTTTGATGCCGTAACATATCCGGCACTACCCTCGTCAACCTATGAGCCCCAATCCGACCAAACAATAGATCATCACATCCAGGAGCTACAATGGCCAACTACCGATACGACTGCCTCCACGGCAGTCCGGGTGGCATGGTCCATTTTGGCGGCGCGATACACTGATTCTAATGACGTGATTTTCGGTCTGACTGTGAGCGGTCGGCAGGCATCTGTACCAGGCATTGAGCGCATAACTGGACCAACAATTGCAACAGTGCCAATGCGAGTCGTGCTGGATCCAGGGACAACTTTGCAGGAAACCTTAATGCAAATACAAGCTCAGGGAATTGAAATGACGGCGTTGGAGCAGACGGGATTACAACGGATCCGCCGGATGAGCACCGAAGCTGAACGAGCCTGCAACTTCCAAACGCTGCTGGTAATACAGCCATCTGAGAGGAGCGATAACTCAAGTAGCCAGCTATTTGTTGAGCTCCGCGACGAAGACGGTGATGAACCTATTGCGGATCTAAATACACATGCGCTTACAGTCAGCTGTGATCTAGAAGATCACGGGCTCGCGTTGAGGATTGCCTTCGACTCCAAAATAATCAGCAAAAACCAAGTTCAGAAGCATGTAGCGCACTTTGAGCATGTACTCCGTCAGATTTGCGACCCCGAAAATGCCCAAAAGGCACTTTCTGATATAGAGACGCTTGGTCGAGAGGACTTGCACGACATTTGGGGCTGGAACGCTACAGTGCCAGAGTGTTCGAACGCATTGGTCCATCATCTTTTTGAAGAGACAGCCCAGAGACTGCCAGATACTGAAGCTGTGTGTGCCTGGGATGGAACTTGGACCTACTCAGAGCTAGATAGCATTACGAGCCGTCTTGCCCGCCACCTCGTAAGCTTGGGTGTTGGTCCAGAAGTTGTTGTACCACTATGCTTCGAGAAATCCGGCTATACATGTATAGCAATGCTTGCAGTTATGAAGGCTGGCGGTGCATCCGTGGCGATGGACACAACTCTCCCTGAAGACCGACTGAGGATTATCACGCGACAGGTGAACCCGACATTGATCCTGTCTTCATCAAGCAACGAAGATCTAGCGCTTCGGCTTGCAGACACTTCGGTTATGGTCATCAACGAGGCCAGTCTGTCTAGTCTGGCTGATGTAAATGCCCCGTCTTCGACGCGATTCCAACGCGTGCGGCCCTGGAACAAGCTTTATGTGGTATTTACTTCTGGCAGTACGGGAACACCAAAGGGTGTCATCATCATACACTCAAATTATAGTAATGCTATCCAGCATCAGCAGGGGATTAACGGCTTCAAAGAAGGATCAAGGGTATACGACTTTGCTTCTTACGCATTTGATGCCACCTGGGCCAATTTATTGAATTCATTAACAAGCGGCGCCACTCTGTGCGTTCCTTCTGACGCTGAGCGAAGAGACGACCTGGCCGGCTCTCTCCGACACTACAGAGCTAATTTCGTGCAACTGACTCCCTCGACGGCATCAATCCTTCCCCTCGAGTCGATCCAATTGCTGGACACGTTACTCCTCGCCGGAGAGGCTCTTCCGCAAGCATATGCGGAGCGGTGGGCAAAGATTGTGGATTTAAGGAACGCCTACGGACCTTGTGAGGCAACTCCAGCTGCTACTTTCGCCAGCATCAAGTCTGATAACATGCTGGAGGTTGGCATTGGCAAAGGTGTCGGCACCGTCACGTGGGTAGCTGATACAAAAACTGCCCAATTTCTGACACCGGTAGGCAGCGTTGGTGAGCTCCTCCTAGAAGGACCATCCGTGGGACCGGGTTACCTTGATGACCCCGAGAAGACTGCTGCGGCCTTTATTGACAATCCACCGTGGCTGCTTCGTGGCGCTCCGGGTCAACCTGGCCGTCATGGTCGTCTGTATAGAACCGGTGACTTGGTCCGATATAATAGGGATGGAAGCCTGGTATACATTGGCCGTAAGGATGCTCAAGTCAAACTTCACGGGCAACGTGTGGAGCTGGGAGAAATTGACAATCACATGATGCGTCATTCGTCCGTTCGGCAGGCGGCGAGTGTATTTCCTGTCTCGGGACCTTGTGCAAATCGACTTGTCGGCGTTGTTAGCCTTGAAGAATGCCAACCAGGAGCCGTCAACTCGTCCGAAATCAATCTCGCCATCGATGATGAAACCGCGGCGCGACAGTTCCGGGACATCCAAAAGAATCTTCATACTATGCTGGAGGGTGCTCTCCCTGTTTACATGGTTCCATCCATTTGGATTGCCGTCAGGGAAATCCCTCTTAACCCCTCTGGTAAGCTCAACCACAAGGTTCTTCGCGAATGGCTCTGCAATATGGACTTGGAAACCTTCATCAAGATCTCTCACGAAAACGACACAGACGATGAGGTCAATCGAAAGCCAGTGACCTATGCAGAGCAAGCAATTGCAAATGCTTGCAGTATCGTCCTCAACCTACCAGTTGAGCAGATCAATATTCACAAGTCTTTTATTGCTAATGGTGGTGATTCCATCTCTGCAATGCGTCTCAGCCCCCACTGTCGCGCCTCTCAAGTTGTTTTCTCAGTCGCAACTCTGCTCAGGAGCAAATCTCTTGCAGAAGTGGCAAGAAATTCGGCCGTCACAGCAACATTGACAGCGCATCAAGAAGAATACGAGAGGTCCTTTGGTCTTTCGCCTATCCAGCAGTGGTTCTTCGATCAGTGCCCAACCCGACTCGTCAATACTACAGATTATCACTTTAATCAGAGCTTCTACCTCCAACTGAGACAAGTAGTGTCCTCAGACAGAATCGGAAGCGCAATCTCAACAATTGTCCGGCAACACTCTATGCTTAGGGCCCGATTCCAGCAAATAGGCGAGTACTGGACACAGTCTGTGCTGAAGCCTACTGCCGAAAATGTGCATCATTTTAAATCTTGGAATCTCGGATCTCTGTCGGAAGTCAAAGCCGTAGCATCACAAAGACAACATGGATTGGATATCGAGAAAGGCGTCGTTTTTGCTGCAGATTTATGCACGTTACCTTCAGGGGAGCAATACCTTCTCTTTGTGGCCCACCACCTCGTTGTTGACCTTGTATCATGGCGTATCATCCTAGAAGATTTGGAGACTCTCATAAGTGACGGTCAGTTAGAGGAAGGACTTCCGTTTCAAGTTTGGAATCAGTTGCAGAAAGAGGAGATTGCCGATTCGAAATACGACCCTCAGCGCTTGCCATCTGTACAAGAGGCTAATAACGATCTCGAGTTCTGGAACTTCGATTCATCAACCTCAAACACAGCCAGTGATCAGTACGAGGACTTCTTGGAAATTGGACCAGAAGTGACAGCATTGTTATTAAAGGGGAGCAACAGTGCCTTCAATACGGAACCCCTCGATCTTCTTCTCTCTGCAGTCTCGGATGCTTTCCTCACCATATTCCCTCGACAAGGCCTTACAATTTTCAACGAGGGTCATGGTCGTGAGTCTTGGAATGCCGAGGTTGACTTGTCTCGAACAGTTGGTTGGTTCAGCACCTTGGCTCCGATAACTGTATCAAGGGATAGAGACAACTCGCATGAGCACATTGTTCGGCTTGTAAAAGATGCTCGAAGACGCCTTCTCGCCAATGGCTGGGCTTACTTCACGTCCAGATATCTGAGTAGCAAGGGAGCTCATGCATTCAAGTCGCATGGATCTACTATGGAGCTAGTTTTCAATTACCACGGCCAATTTCAGCAGCTTGAAAACGATGACTCTCTCTTCAATAACATTACTCTTGACGGTATCTCCGACGCTGGCCCGGCTCTACCTATGTCAGCTCTCTTTGAGATCAATGTATCGATTGAGGGAGGATCAACTCACTTCTCATTCTCATGGAACCGACATATTTCTCATCAAGGCCTCATTCGGGATTGGTTCGCGCAGATCGGCCTATCATTACAGAAGATCTGTACTACTCTCGCTTTCAGAAAGCCTAAAATGACCCTCTGTGACTACGAGTTCCTGAACCTCGATTACAAAGGTCTCGACGAGTTGCAGGCTCATGTTCTACCAGACATCATGGCAGCCAATAACGCCACAGTCGCAGGCATTTATCCTTGCCCACCAATGATTAACGGTATTCTTCTTAGCCAGCTCAAGGACACGTCTTCATACAAAACCTCGCAGGTATATCGAATTAAGTCGCCAGATAATGACATCAGCATTGCTCGCCTCGCAGAAGCGTGGCAGAAAGTAGTTGCGCGACATCCGTCACTCCGCAGCGTTTTCATCGACGGTTTTAATGACAACACAGCTTTTAACCAGGTTGTGTTGGAAGCATGTCCCGCGAATATTGTCCTGTTAAAGAGCCATAGCGAGAATTCTGCACTGAGCATGCTGACGGGTCTTCCCTCGGTCAACTACCAGCAACTCAAACCTCCTCACCGCCTAACCCTGCTTGAGCTACCTAACATCAATGGGCTAAGCGGCAGTCAAGTAATTTGTCAGCTGGAAATGAGTCATGCTATTACCGATGGCAGCTCATCCATGATAATCCTGGAGGACTGGGCGCGGGCATACGCTGGGGTCCTAAGCCAGGAGGCAGTTGATATAAACTACGACTTTGCGCGGGTGCTCACTTCAAGCTTGCCAGCAAATCGAATGAACTACTGGAAGAAGAAGCTAGGCGGCGTCAATTCCTGCCAATTTCCTCATCTATCCAGCCTCTCCCGACAAGCTAATGATGTTTCGTCTGTAAGCATCGACATAACCGGCGAGACATTTGCCAAGATTCAACAATTCAGCGAGGAGAAATTCGTCACAGCCGCAAGCCTATTCCAGAGTGCCTGGGCCCTCCTTTTAGCAAACTATACGGGAACTAACGACGTCTGCTTCGGGTATCTCGCATCTGGAAGAGACCTTCCAGTACCTGGCATCGCAGAATCAGTTGGTGCGTACGCAAACCTGCTAGTCTGTCGCATCGATCTATCACAGAACCGGACCAAGGATGATCTTGTACGGAGCACGCACGATCAGGTCTTGTCAGACCTTGACTTCCAACATTGCTCTCTGGCCGACATACAGCATGAACTGAGTCTCCTGCCCGGCCAGACGCTTTTCAATACTCTTGTATCCTTCCAGCGTGATGACAGCACCTCAGACCGCAGCAGCCGCCAAGATTTAGAATTTACGGAACTCGACGGAGAGGATCCAACTGAAGTGAGTGTACTTTCCTGAACGCATTAGTGCCACAGATCATTGAGCTAACAACTTGAAGTACGACATTGCTCTCAGCATAACATACGGTGCAGGCCAAATAGGATTGAACTTGGAGTATCGTCTATGTTGCTTGTCTGACCAGCAAGCTAATCGGGTCGCCAGTTTGTTGGAGCGGCTTGTTACCGCTCTTGTTAGCAACGAAGATCAGGACACAGGGAACCAGAACAACAGCCTGGCCGACATTGATGTCATGACCCAGAGCGACTTGCAAGATGTCTGGAAATGGAACGCAGTGGTTCCACGAACCATTGACGCCGTAATTCACAACCTTGTCGCTGATGCTGCTCAGAGGTGGCCTGACAAACAGGCTGTATGCGCATGGGACGGCGACTGGACATACCGCGAATTGGATAAGGCTTCTACCTCCTTCGGTCATCGCTTAAAGAGCTTTGGGATAGGCCCAGATGTCATTGTTCCACTTTATTTCGAAAAATCACAATGGACAGTCGTCGCTATGGTAGCCGTTCTCAAGGCTGGAGCCGCCTTTGTCCTCGTCGATCCATCGCAACCGACATCTCGTCTCAACTCCATCATTCAGCAAACACGAGCGAAGCTTCTGGTTTGCTCTTCCACCGAAGCCTACAGGTGCTCTGATCTTGGTATCAAAGTACTGACTGTAGACAGCCCGCATCCGGATACTATGGGCAACACAGACCGTCCTCTTCAGGTGGAAAGCAACCCATCATCCCCCATGTATGTCGTTTTTACCTCTGGAAGTACGGGAAAGCCAAAGGGTGTTGTTGTGACGCATGCGTCGTTCTCCTCTTCCATTTACTATCAGGCAAATACTCTCGGCTACGATAGCCAGGCCCGCGTTTACGACTTTGCGTCATACGTATTTGACGCCTCCATCGAGACGGCTTTCATGACTCTCGCAATGGGAGGCTGCCTGTGTGTGCCTTCAGATGCCGATCGGAAGAACAACCTCACCGAGTCTCTAATTAACACTAAAGCTACTTTGATCGAATTAACGCCCTCTGTCGCGCGCACCCTTGAGCGTCAGCGGTTGGTTGATCTCCGATTCCTAATTCTGGGCGGGGAAGCAGTCAACCAAGACGACGCAAAGGGCTGGCCAGACAATGTCGTCGTCATCAACACATACGGACCCTCTGAGTGCACGCCAACCAGTACTATACAATGCCAACATGATGGCGTTGGCGTGATGAATATCGGTGCCGGGGCTGGAGCAGTAACCTGGTTATCCGACCCAAGCAACTCGGATCGACTGGTACCGATAGGTGCCGTTGGAGAATTGTTGCTCGAAGGGCCGCTTGTGGGACCAGGATACCTTCATGATGCAGAGAGAACAGCGGAAGCCTTTATTGAGGATCCAGTCTGGCTACGGCGCGGAACAGCGGACCTGCCCGGCCGCCGAGGGCGTTTATACAAGACTGGTGATCTCGTGCGGTACAACGACGATGGGAGCCTTAGCTTCGTGGGCCGTAAGGACACACAAGTCAAGATTCGTGGTCAAAGAGTGGAATTAGGCGAGGTCGAACATCAACTCCAGGTCTGTATGCCCGGCGTGCAACAGGTGGCTGCCGAAGTCATCGTGCCCAGCGGCCAAGAAGCCAAGCCTTTGCTGGCAGTCTTTGTGGTGATGGATCCGAACACGCATTTAGAGACAAGGATGCCTGCAGTACCAACTGCTGTTGGTGATGCTGACAGCAAACTACCTACAATCCATATAGCCGGCATCCCCGCCTCCGTCGAGGACTTGCTCGTCGAGGTTCTTCCGTCCTACATGGTGCCAGCGGCCTTGCTGGAACTCGATCAGTTGCCAATGACAGCTTCTGGAAAAACTGACCGCCGCCGCCTGCGTGATATCGGCGCTGGCTTTTCTGTTCAGCAACTCGCCGAGCTGCGAAGCGGGCTCGTGGCCGACAAACGCGGCCCGTCGACGGAGATGGAACGAGCGCTCCAACAGATCTGGGCACAGATTCTCAATGTGGATGCGGCGACTATTGGCATGGATGATAGCTTTCTACGTCTCGGCGGTGACTCCATCACGGCGATGCAAATATCGGCAGCAGCACGAGCTTCCGTTGCAAAAATATCCATCACCGACATCCTCCAGAAGAAGACGATTGCCAAGATTGCATCCGCAGCAGCACATTTGACAGCACGCGAAGAGTTTGTAGATGATTCGACGCAGGTGCAGTATTCTACTCAAAAAGAGGTCGTCGAATTTCATCAAAAGCACGGCTTACGACTCGGTGCGGTTCTTGCCGAGGATATCGAGGATATTTATCCCTGCACGCCTATGCAAGAACGTATAATGCAAGCGCAAGAACAAGATCCAAGAGCATATGTGACTGGATTTGGGCTGGCCATTGAGGCTTCACAAGTCGGCGAAACTGTAGAATTCTCAAGAATCCAGCGGGCTTGGGCAAACGTGGTCAAACGACACGGACTCTTCCGAGCCGTCCTCGTCCGTGACGAGCCCGGACACGGCCGAACGACTCATGTCATCCTCCGAGATCCTGCACCAAGCATATCCTTCCATACCACTAGTGAAGCAGAGGCGGCTGCTACGGGCCACGGAGATCTTCAACGACCGCCATACTACGCTCAAAATGGCCTCCAGCATCACCTCTCAGTGTATCAGACAACGGCCAAGCGTGCCTATCTCCGGTTTGAGATGAATCATGCCATCATCGACGGCCACTCCACCGCTATCATGCTTCGCGACTTTGAACTTGCTTATACAAGTCATCTATACTCGGACGGTCCTCTTTACAGTAATTTTATCAAGTATGTGCACGAACAGCCGCAAGATGATGGACACGGTTTCTGGGCCAAGCATCTACAAGACGTGGAACCATGTCTTTTCCCGACTTCCCAGAACGTTGCGGAACAGCAGGGCACAGTTCAAATTGAGGTACCCAACCTCGATCCTAAAGGAATCGCCGCGTTCTGTGCAAAGTGGGAAGTAACGCAAGCCAACCTCATCCGCATAGCCTGGGCTCTGGTGCTCCAAAAGTACACCAAGTCTACTACGCCGTGCTTTGGCACCATCACCTCAGGAAGAGACCTACCTGTTCACGACGTAGATGAAATTTTCGGCCCCTTGATGAGTCTCATTCCGTGCAGAGTCCGGCTTGACGAGACACGATCCGTCTTGCAAACACTCAAGGCTTCCCAAGAGGAATATCTGCACATGCTGCCACATCAAACCTCCTATTTGGCAAATATACAAAAACATGCCAAGGGCCTTGAATCTGAGCTTTTTAACACGGCCATTTCCATGCACAGGGACACACTAGAGAGCCCAGAAACACAAAATTCACAGGGACATAGCATCCATCTACAGGACGAGTTTGACCCAGTCCATGTACGTCGGGCAGATTCGCCTTTTCCCCCTTTCTCCTATCGTTGTTTGGAAGTACACAGCTGACTTTGAGAATTACAGTATGATATTTACATTAGAGGAACATATGAAAAGGATGATCTTTCTCTTGTGCTGGAGTTTTGGGAAGAACGCATTTCCCGAAGTCAAGGTGTGGATGTGGCCGAATCATTTAGTGCTGCGATTTCGTCCATCATCTCCCAGCCGGAGCAGGACATTCGTCAGCTCACAATCGTATAAGGTCAAGGAAATGGTTTGTGGGCAACTTCGCGGATATTTTTTATTCATGCGGTGTTGTACACTCGTATGTTTGTTGATGTTGTTGGATTGTGGGTATTACTAGGTTTGCGACATGTATTTTTTTGTATTTCATGCGAAGTTGAGTTATGTATATCGAGTCATTTTTTTAGATGGTATGATTTAGATGGTCTAAGAAATATTTATTCGGCTTTTCAAATTGCGACACAAGAACACATGATTTAAATTCTTCTAATTGTGATATAGGGTAGGGCTAGATTACCTAGCCCGCCATCTCTCAAGATTTAGTATCTGCGAAAGCTAGGTGTGGCTTCTAAACCTATTCTCTGTTTGTCTTCTCAAACCAAATCAAGTCATCCAAGTCCTCATCCAACTGGACGCCCATATGAGTTACGGACCCGTCATCACCAAACCGGAATTCAGCTCGAATGGGGTCATTGAGACCCTCGGTCGGACAGCACAGGTAAGCCACAAACTTTGTCTGCTCACATACGTGTTTGAAAGTCAGTGTGAAGGCAAAGGATCTGTCATTGGCATCGACAAAGAGCTGGCCATCCCGGACTTGTACGTTGATGCCGCGGTAACCCGCGTGCCAGTAGTGGCCAGTGTAGACTTCTAAAGGGTGCTCATGCGACTGGCATTCCTTGATGTCGGGGAAGAAAGCCTGCCAATCTTGCTCGTCCTCGTCGTCTTCAGCACCATCATCATCATCATGAAACATGCTCATTTCAACCTTTTCCCAATCCAATCTCTGGTCACCGGGCAGCTTCAACGCATCGTCAATCAATTCGTGCGTTAGGGCCGTGAAAATAGTGCAGGCGCCTTCGGCGTTTCCAAACACGACACAGCCAAATTTGAGCTCGGGCATAAACATGTGTGTGGTGCTACAACCAGGTATGCCCCCGTCGTGCGCGACAATGTTGTAACCTCGATAGTGGTGCAGATGCCACCCTGAGGCATAGATTCTCGGTGATGAATATGGATAGGGTTTCTCCAAGTCCAGGCCCACTATTGTCCTTGGTTTCATGATACCCTTGTAGACGTCTTCCGTGAAGGGCTCGTCTTTATTTAACATGGCTTGGACATACTTGATGTAGTCGTTTACGCTCGTGACGACGGAACCAGCGCCCTGGCCCTCTGGGCAGTCTGGATAGTCAAACGTCAGGTATTGTTCCTTGTCTTTGTCCCAGTAATGCCCTGGGGTTAGTCTATCCCCAAAACCCTTCTCACGGGCTTCTTTAGGCTGAAGGAAGGACGACTTCATATCCAGAGGCTCGAAGAACCTTTGGCGCAGGAAGTCGGCGAATGGTGTTCCAGTTTTTTTCTCCACAAGATGGGTGACGGCGGTATACATGGCATTACAGTAGATATATTTTGTACGGATTGGTGCTGCAACGAGCAGGTTGCGGATGTTTCTCGTTACGGAACAAGCGTCATCGGGTTGGTTGGCGTCGATGCCGAAATACGAGTAGTCATTGCTATTTGGAGCATTTTAGTCAGGTTGTAAGAGCCACGGCATCTCTTGTTCACTTGCCGGGAAAACTACTTACGATGAAAGTCCAGTTCTGTGCCCCAACGCATCGTCGAGAGTCACTTGATCGTACTCTTTGCTGGGCATGGCAAAGTCGTCGGGAAGGAGATCCGACATGCGCGCATCGTACTTGACCTCTGGATGGTTTTCATCATCGTCCACAATCAAAGCCACCGAGGCAGCTGTTAACGACTTGGAGGCTGACGCAACATCGAAGAGTGTATCAGTCGTCATGGGCTTTGGCGGATCCAACGAGGCATTTCCGTAGGCTGCAGACGCAACCTGGCCATTGTGCACAATTGCGATGGCGAGCCCCGGGGTGTGATGCTTCTTGATGAGCTGCTCTACGCGCGAGGCGAACTCTGGAGAACGGAAGAGATCCATGATGGCTGTCCGGGAACAAGCGAGCGATGGAATTTGCGGCCTCGGGTGATGTTTTTGTGTGCAAGGTTGTGTTGGGAAAACTTGGGAGGTCCGGCCGGCGTGACTAATTGTGCTGTTGGCTCGGGAAGAATCGAGCCCCGTCTCACCTCACCAAGCTTTTGCCCGACTTCGCCTCACCTCCTCCTCACCCGGCACAAAGGGGAAGTCGCCGCTGACTGCGTGAAGCAGCATTTCCTTTGATCCAATTGACGAGACAGTTGCGCAACGAATACTACTCTGACGGGTGGAGACATCTGGACCAGACTCTTAAGGGCTAAATACCTTGGTACTTGTGCCCACTCGCCATCCATCTCGATTCCATGTTGATCTGTGGCGCCGGGTAGTCCCACTCAGGTCGACGCGGAGCTTAGCTAATGTGCCACCATACGACGCCGCTAATGACAAATACTCGACCATTGACACCGGACTGCATGTGTCGCCCGAGAGCTACGAAAAAAAGACTGAAAGGCTAAGTTGAGGCAACACGACACAGGCATACCAAGGTGCCAGCATGCCGCATTCTAATATATTGCTCACATAGAGCCGTTGGGTCCTGGCTTGGCGGTGAAATCTTTTGGTGAAATACCGCGTTTCGCTGCGAGGGAAGTGAATTTTTCCAAGACATTTTGCGCGACGCCCTGCGAGAGGACCTCGAATCCGGCGTATAGACGGAAAATGGTTCTGACTGGGGTTGAACCGGATGGTGTTGTTGGCACAAGTGTATTTTCTCGGCTTAACGTATTGTGAAATTTGACTGCCCGCAATAACGGCTGCCTTGGAACCATCGGAAAGACCAGACGGGCCTGTTAGCCTTAGCAAATCTCTTCTACCCAAGTTGGTAGCAAGGCATCCGATTGTGCTACCATGTCAATGTTCACAAATATGGTTGTATCTGAGTTAGTAATTAATTGGCACTGTACGGTACCGACTCGACTCAAATCACGGTTATCCGTAGGAATCTCTTCTTATGTGGTACTTTGCTCTGCTTGGGACGCCATCTGTATTCTTGCCTGGCAGCCTCTTGTCCGTCCACAGGGGATTTGAATTGAGATGGGATGGATGAACACTAATATGCTGCCGGTATAGTCGTCACATGCTTTTCACTTGATGATGTTCTTGACGATGAACGTTTGAGAGCACAGTCTCTGGGCCAAAGACAAATTGCCCAGGGGTTCACGGAAATATGGGCTATGACGGAGGAATAAGCGTTCGGGCATGAATGAGGTAAATAGCGAATAGAGTTGGGCGAGAGTCAAGTCAGGGGGCTGTGCCAGACGTCTCGAGCGATGCGGGGATCGCACCAGACATCAAGTAGACCATGCACCGGCTGACAGTAGCTACTTGGCCTTCTCGTACGCGCCATTGCTTTCAAGCGCACTGACCCTTTGGCTTACGATCCTTGCAGAACCGGGAACCGGCAACGCACCAATTATCGCAGCCTTCCTTTGCGCATCGTGTGCTGCCAGCAGCTTGATCAACAGTAGTGTCGCTCATGGTTATACAAGTTTTGGCTGACATGGTTGGGCGGGGGCAAAGGCTTGAACGAAGGATGTTTTGATCAAAGTGTCAAGTGGTCTGGAAATTTATTGCAAGTGTCGAAGAAGAGGTTTGCAGTCGCTGTGCGGGCTAGTATATATACATGTACCTTTTCATCGGGACTGTCAGGCATGGCTGCCTTAACATTCATGGTACCGCTGCGGTTGGTGTTAGACGGAAGTTACGTTGCCATGATGGCACGGGCCGGACCTTGAACCCGACGATAGTTACATATGGGCTCGAGACCGAGTTAAGGCCTTCGGCTATCAGGTTCGCTTGCTTGCCGCTATTATATTTACATAAGGGTTATTTACCCTTGAAGGCTTTAAGAGATGCAAGAGTCTTCAATATGAAAGCGAACATTGAATGATGAGCAGAATGCGAGGTTGTTCCAAGCCCTTATCACAGTCAGGCCGCAATGTGGAAGAATTTGAATTTTGATCAATTCATGTTGGGCCGGGTCTCACGCGGGGGTGGCTCGTGCACCTTGGCCCCGTCAAGTACGAGGAGTCGATGCTGACCTCACTACGTGAAAACTTCCACCAGATATGTCCTACGACAACCGTCAATACTGTCTCGTGATTTCCCAATAGGACTCACGTTAAAATTGTACACGCAATGGCGCCCAGATTCTTCAGCTGCTCCGTGCCAGATTGTACAAGGCCAAGCGTCAGAGCAACCGGGGGATGCGATATCTGTAATCGCCACCTATGCCTCACCCACCTGTCTCCTCCTCTCCATACGTGCGACGAGGTACGAAACCAGTCCCTTTTCTCTTCACCGCAGCCCGTTTTAGAACCTCTCAAAATGGAATACTAAATGTGGTCCGATAACCAGGCCGTGGATGATGCAACTTATACATTACAGATTGTCGCCGAGATTGATCGTCTTCGCTCTCAAATCAATGACGAGGCTGCATGCCAATATGCGTCCAGGCTGAATGGTGGTAGGAGTTGCAGTATCGAGCACTCTTCCAAAGTTGGACCGGGCGCCCTCATGGGAAACGCCAACTATCATGCCCGTATTCGCTTCCACGACGGCTCTCCCTCATGGCTCCTGCGAGTTCCTCGAGTTGCGAGCTTCGCCGTTGGTCTTCCCGTCTCGTTGGCAGACTATTTAATACTCAGCGAGTACGCAACATTAAAATTCCTCGAAACCACTACGGTACCGGCACCTCAAGCCTTCGGTTACGGCGTATGCGGTAATGGAACCGACCATGGAGTCGGCGTGAGTTTCCTTCTCATGCAAGAACTACCAGGAAGACCCTGGACAGGCGAGGGTGCGTCAGGCAAAGCGGCCACTGAAGACGAGAAGGCAAGGATCTGGGGTGACCTCGCCGAAATCATGGTTGAGTTGGAACACCACCCCTTCCCCAAAGCTGGGTCTCTGTGCTTCCAGTTATCCAACATTGAAGTGTCGGCGGTAGCAAGCGACAGGTTCGTCGTCCTCACTCCCCATGGTCCATTTCATAATTCGACCGCCTATTATACTGCCTTCGCCGAGCAGTACTTGCAGCTGATTGCGGATGGCCAACTGTATACCGAGTATCCTGTCGATGCGTACCTGGTGTACCGCTTTCTCAAGGACAAGGCATCTCACCTAGCCCAACAAGGACAAGCACAATCTCGAGAGGAATTCTTTTTAAAGCATGTCGACGACAAAGGCGACCACTTGCTCGTCGACGACGACCTTCACATTACCGGTATCATTGACTGGCAGATGGCACGTGTCGTACCTCGACGTGAAGCCTTTGGACCGTCACTTGTTACTGCCGACATGAGTGCCTTGTGCCGTGGTAAGGTCTCGCTAAGTTCCGATGATGTTGCCTTGACGGATGCACTGCGGCAAAGGGGCATCTCTACCTGTGTCACAGATGAGAAAGTGAGAAGATTCTTCTGGGGTCTGGCCTTGGAACCCAAATGGTCACGCGCGTTGCCGTTGGCAAGTGCTATACTTGAAGTCTTTGGAGCCGGTCAAGACTGGACACGGTGGAGGGAGACGGCACTAAAGCAATACGAGACTGACGGGCGCCTAAAAGGCCTCGTTGAGCGTTATTGCCACTGAAGCTGGCATAGAATGCGCGTCACCCATACAAACTAGATGCCTAAATAAATGACACGTCATTTCACAGTCGTTCCAGTCTTGGTATAAACGCCTTGCGCCTGCCGTTGTGCGATCCCTCAAACTCTGGCTCTGGACGCTCGATTCAAGATGCCACTGCGTCACAGCAGTGGCATGCTGAGCCGGCAGTTTTATATTCTCCATGTGCTTTCCCCGTACTTGTATGTAGTTGGCAGCTCCAACGTGCAAGGGGTGGCGTAGTATTTTAAATCCATCCCAACCTTGAACTAGATACTATTATAATTGTGATTACCTGGTATACAAACTCCCGCTCTTGCAACGTAACAAGGTGTCTCATATATGGCGCTTAACTTCTACTCGCCAATCTGGCAGCGCTTGCAAAACTCTACATGGGGTTCACAGTGACAAGGAAAAATGTGTCGACAGGGAGCCTCTGGCCTCGACGCTGCCGGTCCAGCTAACCGAGCCACCTCTTGGGTCCTACACCTCGGCATGCTCCATCTGAAATAAAACTCCCGACTTACCATTGCTTTCGAGGCTGGCAGAAACGCCATTCTTCAGTGTTGAGTGCTCACCATCAAAGATGGTAGTCATTTCTTCCAATGACAGACCCTTTGTTTCAGGGTACCCAACCCAAATAACAAGAGTCCAAAACGCTAGAAGACAGAGAAATACAACATAATATTTCCATCCAAGATTCTCTAATGCAATAGGATTCGTGAAGCCGTTAAAAATACTCGCCAGGGTGCTACCGAGCTGGAATATGGTCATTCCCTTTGCCCGAAGCTCAAAGGTGAGAATTTCAACGCAATAAGCAGGAATCACGGGTGCTGCCATATGGTAAAAGCAAAAGAATGCAAAGATGAGAACGATGATGCCATGACCCATGTATTTGTTTTCAAAATAAGGTCGAGTGATGATGGCGGCAAGGATTGTCCAAACTAGATACGTTAAGAACATGGCAATATAAGAAGAAAGAAGAAGCTTTCGTCTGCCAACGCGATCAATGGTCAGTCCGAAGAAGACTGCCCAGAGGAACGACCAGACCTGGGTGCAGGCATTAATGACAAGCTGTGTATACGAGTCCGTAACACCAGAATTTGTCAAGACAAGCGGCAGGAAGTATGAGACTATGCTATTTCCGGCCCATTGTAGGCAAAATCCTGCCGTGGCCACGATGTAGAATCGGCGACGGTTCCCGCTCGTGCTGAAGAATGCCAGCCACGAAACTGCCTTGTTTGCCTTGTCAGCTTCGAGGCTAACATTGATCTCAACAATCTCGAGCATGACGAGGGCTGAACTGCGGTCGCCGCCGCCGTGGTACTTGGTCAGCATCTCAAAGGCTTCGACATGACGGCCTTTGCTGATGAGCCATCTGGGGGATTCGGGTGCGAAGAAAACAAGGCAAGCCTGAATGAGGGAGGTGACGCCCTGCAGGAGACTTGGAAGTCGCCACGCCCAGTTCCCGTGCATCTTGGAACTACCAAAGGTGATCCATGCAGCGATCAAGGCTCCGAGTGGCCACGCGGGCTCATAAATGGCAGTAATCTTGCCGCGATGAGCGGGATGAGACACCTCGGACAAGAAAAGTGTTGAGCAAACTTGCAGCACACCCAAGCCTAAACCAATGATCCAGCGGGATGCAATAAACGAGACGAAGTTCTGGGACGAGGCCTGGAGAATAGTCCCAACGAGGATGGTGCAGGAGCCACCAAAGATTGGCCATCGTCGTCCCAGTTTGTCGCAAATCCAAGCAGAGACAAACATGGCAACGAGGGTGCCAAAGACGGTACCATTGACCATGGCACCGAGGCGAATACCAGTAGGCTTGTCAAAGTAATCAGCCCATGAGGGCAGCGCCTGGAGGCCATTGAGCATGGAGCCATCATAGCCCGTCGTGGCTTGAGTCAAGAGGCCAGCAAGGAGCAGCAGATTGAGGCTCCGCAGATGGCCATGTTGAAACCACCACTTGTCGAGCTTTGGCAAAACATGCCGAAGCATAAGACCCTCGGGTGGGTTGGAGGAGCTTGGCTTGTGCGGTTCGCTGTCTGCCATGGTGTGTTGACAAGATTGAAAGAGACATTGATAGATTCAATGTTTAGAATTGCCCCGGATTGACCCCCGGATTGCATCGCCATTCAGGCAAGATTGCGGGGATTGACCCCTGCGATCTCCGCGGGGACGGTCTGGTGGGGCACTTGTTCATGGTTGATGTCTGGTCAGGTCTGGTCTGGTTGGACAAGGCATTATCAAGAGGGACATCTGGAAGACCATTTCCCATGCATGCTACACAAGCACGTTCCTTACACGCATTGACCTTCATCATTTTCGTCCATAATATACTTGGCATGAACGAGAGCGACCCCTTGGCACTGGAGCGTCGTGACCATGTTCTATTCCAATTCATATTAAAGTTGCGAAAAGAAATAAAAGATGTGAATACACCAGCGTATAAAGTGCTGGCAAACTCCGCGTCAAAAATACGCAGATGGTTCAGACACATTTGTACCATTCTGATCCACCATTCAAGTGCAGGCGGTATTACAATATAAGGATAAGGAAACTAGAGCAAGGCTAGTAATTGGATATATAGAATTAGCTAACAAGTAGGTATCCAAAGCCTGTATTACTCATATTCCCTATTCATAAATACTCATGTATCGAGGCTAAATGGAATGCCCACCTTTCGGGTGGCTCTGAGTGCCTGCATTCAAACAGAGGTTAGAACACATAATCAGCGGTAGCTGGGTTAAGGTACCTTTGTGCTTATTGGGCTTTTCACTGCGTGTGGTTCTAATATCGCAGACAATCGTGCAAGCCATAGTGATGGGGCTGCCACGCCCAAAGTTCCAAGCTGTTTGCACCTGCTGAGCAGATTCATCTTCTTCCGTCATAACTCGAGTGAGATTCTTGCGGCCTTCGGTCCATTCTATGATGGCGGGAGCATCTTGGCTTCCCTGAATATGGTAGAAGCCAAGAATGTTCTGTAGACCAAAACCCTGTGTGATGCGGTAAAACTCCTTGACGAGATCTTGCGGTGGGTCATCAGTCTTGAGAGTCGAGAACTCATACGGCGTACCATTAGCTAACCAGCGTTCTGGGTAGTGTTGTTCGATGAGTGCTATTTGCACTGGCTCGGAGATGTCTCCCTTGGCAAGCGTGATCTCCCCATCGGCAAGCTTGCAGTGAGAATGGACAAGACAGATGCCATACGCATTGTCGTACTTTGCAAGTAACTCTGCGAGCTGCGCAAAGACTGGGTTGCGGTTAACAAACTGGTCGTCGGCGTGACCAAGGGTAGGTAGAGCATTGTAAAGATGAGCAACTACAGCAGCGGCCATGGTGTGACAAGGGCTTAGTTAAAAGGGCGTGGAATAGTATTCGTATTTAGCTATTCGCTTTGATCTCAAAGGTCCTTGGTTTTCTCAAGGCCTTGAGAGGCCAACAACCTCTATTTATACAAAGCAGCGGGGAGCAAGCGATCCTGCAGCCTGAGGCCTCTACTGGGGCTCGAGCTCCTGTGTAACTATCGTCAGGTTTGAGGATCGGCCCGTGCCTTGATAACGTGATCTTCGTTTAACACATGGGCACACTGTGATGAACTCGAGGATAAAAAGGTGTAGTTGTATTAAATAGAGAAGTAGTAGGAGAAATAATCTCTACTCCGCTTCGTGATCTCGAGACAAAGTCGAGCTGAGAAGAGCGGGCGGTATATATCTTGTTAGCCCTTCTTTAGATCTCCAGTTATCCCACACGCGCCTTGCTTAACATTAAGATGCGATAGCCTCACATTGAGCCAATAAAAAGGCAGCTATGGTACACGTGTTGAACGAACAGGACATCCTCAAATGATAAACCAAGAATTATTACGAAAATATGGCTCCTACCTAATAGCTCGTGTCGTGTGGTCCCATAGAAGGACAGGATAAAGACTAATGACAAATTCGATTGTAGATAACTACCGACTCAAGGTTTCAAGGACCTCTAAAGACTAGTCTGATATCAGGTATCATGTACAGGCAGTGCCTCGACCATTTGCCGCAGCGCAAGCAGTGTCGGCCTTTTATTTGGCTCTTCGTGCATGCATGCTTCGACAACGGCTCGGAGTGGTTCTGGAACTGGCCACTCGACCTGGCTTGCAATTGGCGCATTAGCATACACCATACACTTGATGTAATTTCCGATGTCATAGATGTCAGAACGAGTGGTCCATCCGGAGTCTAGTCCACCACTAAATGCAATTTCGGGAGCGGCCCTCAGACCCCAACGACTCTCGAGGTCGCAGATTACTAAGCGGCTGCCGTCTTGCGCAAAGAGACAATTACCGATGTGAAGATCTCGGTGAACGATGCCGAAATCGTGAAGACAGGCTAGCCCGTCGATGATATGGAGTATCCAGCGCTTGTAAATCGCCAGGGAGGAAAATCGCGCCAAGATGGCCCTCGTGGCCAACTTTTCGAAGACCAGCTGCCCGTCAGAAGATCTGCCAAGGAGGCGAACAAGGTGGTTGGAAAGAATAGACCCGGGACACGACCCGCCCTGACATGTTAATAGGTTCTCAATCTCGCTCCTGTATTTCCCCTTTTTGAGGAAATGCTTCGAAGGGTCGACGTGAACAAGTGGCAGCTGCATAACGAGATCTTGGATATCCTCGAAGTCATCTGGGATAGGTTGCGGTAGATTAGGGCATGTTTCGAGACTGCGAAAATGGTCGCCTTCAATTTCGAAATGACCTCCAACTGGAGGTAAGTTTCGCTCCAAGCGGAGAATTTGGCCAGACAATTTTCCTGGCATGTCGAAGAGGTGGACGAATCGTCCAACCTCGGTGCCATCATCATGCCAGAATCTCATAGACGGCCTTTCCCCCGGTACAGTCTCCATGTCTAGTATAGGTAGACCTGTAGGAGGGAATAGGTTGGATCTCTGACGCTTGTCCTGGTAGTTGGTTCGCAGTCGAATGACTTCGTGGCTAAAGTGGTCGCTGCTCGAGGTCATGATTGTTCAGAACCCTGGCTAGATCCGTTAGCGTGTGGTACTATAAGTGCAGCGAAGGAAGATGGAGTTGGTGTGCCGGTGGAAAGAGATTCGGTGAGGAAATAAACTGCTGGTCCCGTACGTACACCGCCTTTCAAGAGCACGATCTGTAGGCTTCGGACTATAAGCTAACCCTGAATCAGGGAGTCGGATGGGTGGACGGTATAGTTTGTTGCTGACTGTATGGAGCCAAGTGAACACTCCAAAGAGGTTTGTACCGTCGACGTCTCAAAGTATCAATGCTGCAAAAACGCTTGATCTGCTAAGATTGAACCGGCTCGATTTTACGTGAAACTCGTGGGTCTGCATTAACGACTGACCCGCTTTTATCCGATGGCCGTTTAGTTACACGCACGTACTACCAGTCCGTAAGTAGGAAAAAAAATACGTTAATCAAACGCGAGTACCCTGTCAGCGACAGCGACGTTTCTTTTTCCTCGCCTGAGAAGTACCAGGTGTAATGGTAAAGTAGGCCACTACGCTGGTCAAGCACGTCAATGGATGCCACTGATGACACTAAAGCCTGTGAGATACTTGGGAGCGTCTCCGGACGGGACCAAGTAAGCCCTGTATACCTGTGCCAGTAGAGACACGGCCTTTGTCTCGTTTGTCATGGTGGAAAATGTGACGAATGCGTTTCAATGTTGGAGAAATCCTGGGGGCGGAACCATTGGGATTTTTGAAATCTGGTGCTGTTTTTCAGCGCGATTGTAGGGTATATTGCCTGACATTGGCAATTAATGGTTGGTTCAAGGCTGTTGATACAATAACCCTAACCCTAAGCCTCGTCGGCCCCGTGCGGTGCAACAAAAGAAGCTTTGCGAAACATGACGCACACGCCTGCCATGGAATGAGCGCAGCATGGCATTCGCTTCAATAGCGTAACCCCCGGATTCGTAAACACTGCCTTGACGTGCTATGTTGAGACATATCCAGACTAGGATACCAAGACGAAGTACTATGGAGGAATGCCGCGTTTGGCTCTGCCTTAGAAGCTTGGTGGCGCTTATGTCTACTTATTTAGCGAGACATCAACATATACTACCGGTATTGACATGCCTATTGTTGTCATTTTCGGAGCGTGGTAGTAGATGATGCGGCGTTTGGGTACAATAGATGGATATCAAACCGTGTCAAAAACGTATCCCAACCACTCCTTTACGAGCCTCCTAGCAAGCTCGACACCGATAACGCTTTGTCCCAGACGTTGGCACCGTTGTTTCAGTCTGGTATTGAGTAACCGCAGGACAGTAATAAAAAAACTAATGCGCACCTTGAATCTGTCCCTTGTCCGCGAGCAATTGTTGCCAACGTGTCCAGGTGAGGCGCCAAGGTCGGGAAGTAGCCCGGGAAGATTGTTTGTTAAAAGTGTCCGCAGCACACGCACGAATCCAGCGCCCTGAACGCCGCGCCGGTCAAACCAGTTAAAACCATTGATTGTGTATATGGGCTGAAGCATCTACTCAAAATGTCTTGTCACAATGGCCTAACTAACGTCTTAAAGCCCATGGTCTTTCACATGTGTCGCCGCGGCGTTCAAAGACAGCACCGTATCAGGTGCACTGTCGATTTCTTGGATATGCGTTGGCGAAGAGACCATGATGTACCTGGAGACTAGGGCGTTGCACAGAGTCGGTAAGTTATATTCCACGCCTTGTGTGCACTACATTTTAACAAAAGACTATACCTCTTGGAAACCATAATGGAATATTCTGCGTCCGTTGAAGGGGTAGGTCCAAGCAGACGCACGCCTCTTGAACATGCGGATAAGAGCTTTGACTGCCAACTAAAATTTTATACTGTAAATACTACGAACGCTGGTCGATTGGGACTGAACTTACCAAGGTTCTCTCCGCTAACGCGGTTGAACTGCAAAGTAATACGACCAAGGAAACGACAGTTTCAATTAAAGAAATTGGCTGTCCTATCAAAGGTGGTAGCTATATTGAAGGCAAGTATTTGGTAAAAATACTGCATTGATGCATGATGTAGATGTTGGGGCGTTTGTTCCCGCGAAAGGGGATAGCTCAGAATAATTAAGAGCGGTCAAAATGGCGTGCCAGGAGATGGATCAGCCAATGCACTAGAGCGTCATTGTATCCAATATCTTCAAATTCCATGCTATAATAGACATTGAGATATATATCTCGTGATATTTAACAAAAAGGCCCTCGCATGTCAGAAACTAAGACCACCTCGAAAGAGGCCCCGCCTACTTCGAAGTGCCCCCAAATTATGCCTGTGGTTTTCTTCGCCATCCGACACATTGCTGCGGTCATGGTTTAAGACCGCTTCACTTTGTCACGCCAAGACTGGAAGGCCTTTTTGCGTTTGTCACATGCCGCCAGCCGCTGTCATAGACATGCGTTGCCACGTAATCTTCATGCAGCACCAATCACACTCCCTGAGAATATTTCCAATCCTGAGACAGTGAGGCTTTTTCCTGTAAAAGTGCTCATCTAGAACGTCCGCCTTCGATTTCCCCATCATTTACTTCTCTGAATCGCAAAAGGCCAGCAATAAACACTAGGATCGCCTCACATTTACATTGTAATTATACCGCAGAAAGCATCTGCGCGTTTATGTGCGTATGTCTGTTGATATTTGCAGCACAGCCGTCGGAAAGGCTCCCGAGAGTACCACTAGCAGCTTTGTCGATTCGCCCTCGCTAGGAATACCACATATAGCTGTTATAAGCTAGCTGGCGTATTTGTTGGAATGGCATCCGTCGTCACTGGTGCTGGACTCTTTGCCAGCTTTCGCAAGCTTGCTACTACTGATTGTACGCCTCAACTTCACATGGCATTTTCCGCAGACCACTGCTAATGAAGGCCGTGGTAGACTTCGTCTTGCTTGCTCTTTGCATGTCCATCGCGACTCTCGGGATAGAGACTATTAAGGATAGCCAGGGCGAGTCTGCCCACTACATGACCCTAAGTGAATGGGCAGCCGCGCAGCGAATTGCAGCCGATCAAATCATGAGCTGGTGGGATGTAACTGGCAGAAAGGAGAATGATATGGCCAAGATAATTGAGTCGGAGACGCCCTTCACGCCAAACCCCCAGCACAACGGAGCCAAGTACAGTGGATAGCAAGCCAGCAGCCCGCAGTGTGACAAGGGCTTAACCAAATCGTAGCCAGCATCGGCTTCCGGTTCCTCGAGAACATAGATGATCAGCATGTCGCTGCCCACACTAACCTCCTCAAGGCTCAGGGCGAATGGGTAGAACCGAGGATTCATCGTTCACTTGCTAATACTACCACCTGATCACTCTAGCTTGCCGAGTGTAAAGGGTCAAGCGGCCGGAACGGCACACGGCCGTACCGACTATCGCCAACTCCTGTGGCTTCATCGATTCAAGAACCTTATGCGGAGGCGTATCGGTAACATATATAAGGTACTGTTAATATAGTAGGGCATATGCAGGCTTTATTTTCTTCTTCATCTTGATAGTCAATGGCATTGTGACGATGGTCTAACAAGGCTCGGAACGTAAAGGTTCAAATTCAAAGACAATATCAAAGAGTGACAAAGGCCCTTGGTTTTCTAAGAGGAAGAAAGGGATAAGTAACTACTATATATACATTAAAGGAGCGCCTGGGCCTAGGTTCCTTACCCGGGCACGTGTTCTGTCCATGTAATAAGCAAGTCCTTTATTGTTAAGGCCCCTTTGTTGGGCTTCACGATTTGTTGGGCCTTTTACGTTTAACAGGCATAGGGACTAGTTAGTTGAACCAACTCGCCGGAGGACTTTCACACCGAGACAGTTGACTACCAAAACCCAACACAGCCAACAGAACCGACCCGAACTCCTCCACAGTTGCAACAGTCTAAGGACATACCCAGAACATGGATCTAACATTTCCTCCGGTATTAATATTGACACAAGAGCCCGGCTGAGGATACGCAATCCCGGTGGATGGGCCGCGGCATCCGCCATCCGAGAAGTATTGGATATTGTATGCATGAGGGCAGTTCCCGTCCACCCAAAAAGAATGTCTGTCATCCATCTTAGCGCATCGACCTTCCTGCGGGCTGGCCTTATCATAGTGGCCTGCATTGCCGTCACAATGTGAGCCACTGTATCCAATAATGCCAGATGCATAGGCATTAGTAGCCATTGCTACGAGGACGACAATGCCGTTGAACATCTTCATCTTGACAGTATATTCTATAGTGATGTTAGTTAGAGAGTTGGTATTATAAAAGAACATGGCCATTACTCACCAGGTTTGTTGCTTGGTTAAGACAAGGAGAGTTAAGAGGTAGTGTTTGGCCTTATGTGACGGGAAAGTGGCAGAATGCAGCATCTTATATACATTTCAGTACCAAGGAATATTGCACCCTGGCTCAATTTCTACCGTGATGCAAACCCGAGACTCGACATTATCTAACAATCTTGGCCGACATGGCCTATATAGCCCGATTTGGCAATAGCCGAAAGATAAACGATGCCGGATGCGCCACTGAACGACATGGTGTAACTCTCATATGCAGTTGAACTGAAATTGGGTAAATCCCGAGGCACGACGAGCAGTTAGCTCGGTTCCACATGGGTCGGACCTGTTGAGTTGCATGGAACATTGGCAATTGTACCACACAACACACCCAGAAACAGCACAACTGGATAACAGTCTAGGCTCAATTGGGTTCGTGGGACTATGCAGGTAAGATTCCGGCAACTTCCAGTTTCGTCCATCAGCTGTTCCATCTCTTCACAGCTAAGCAAGCCTTTAAGCTTTAATATTGAGACACACACATATCGGATAATATCTAAGCCCTACGAGCGAACGCACAAGGTAAGTCAAGTAAATGGGCATGGATTAGTTCTTACTTGGCCAAAATATCTCTGTTGACAACCTGGGCTATACTGCCTAGCCCCCCGACCTGTTAGTGCTCCGTCATACGGAGCATGCCTCTTTTGTGTAATTGCAGCTGCTATCGGGCAGAAAGAGGTCACAAGTTACTTCCACGTAGCATATTATCCCCACTATTGCATTCGGGAGAGTACCACGGCTAGAATATTTCCGACAATGCCAAGACAAGCATCATGTGTCCATGCCTGGTACATTAGCAGACGTCGTTCAACTGGATCAACGGCGGCCACCAGGAAAAACACAGGATAAATAACTCCTGCGCTATTCTGCTTTAGAGCCGACTCTTGAACCCCGCGTACGAAAGACAGTACAGCATTTAGCAAAGGGGTAGACTGATAAGGCGCTCGCCGCGTGGGACATGTAGGCATTAACAACGTAGGCTCGTACAGACTGGTTGCAAATCACGCTCTTCTGGGGCTTTCTTTCTCCCAAAGCGGCCGGTCTCCAGCCTGTATGGCTTCCTCCTTACCAATTTCCCCGCTGCCGCCGCTGGCTCCAACACACGGATTCGTTGGCTCCAGAGCAGAGCCGATTCGAAAAGCAGAATGGGGAGACGCTGCAGCCTCTTCGGCACTGGTTAGTCTACAAAGAAGGGTCTCCAAGTCATGGGCCTCTGCAGAGTTCATCATCCTTGGGGATACGAAACGATTTGTCGGTATTGTCTCTGGGTACGCTGTTCGAGGGCAGCCAATATGTCCGGCATCGATGTACATGGGGTGTGTTGGCATGGCAGGAAATGTAGTCCAGCCCAAAGCCTCGATGAAGAATTGCAGTCTCAGCATCTCTCGTTCCAAGGGCCGCTGGGAATCAACCTCATCCGCGAAATGCCCTTGATCATGGAAGGAGCAGGAGAATATCTTTGCTGGAATTCCTCCTTTCGCAGTGCCCCGAAGAATAATGTCAATGTACGTCTCATTACCCTAGTAATGGGATAATTTACTATTGCGCGACGGCCGGATTTCCAGCTGTACGAGCGAATTATCACGGACCGAATACAAACTCTTGTCACTGATCCCGATGCCGAGAAACTGCTGGCCGGGCAAGCATACTCTCTCTTCTCGCGTGTTGTCGATTACACCGACGCATCCAAATCCTGAACAATCAAGCTGTGGCCAAGATCCGGTGCCTGAAGACGCCAGTCAGCTCCTCGGAGACTACAGTCGCTCACATTTGTGGAACAGCGAGCCTGGATACGTTGATTCAGGTGGTCGGACTTGTCATCAACACGTGCGGTAGCTGTCGAACGGGGGAGGTCTACATTGCCACTACATGGAGAGCATCATTATCCAAGACTGTGACTTTTCCAACATGGATTCTTGGACAGTGTATGCCATGTCATCCCGTCGCAGTGACACCCACATTGCGGGCGACATGCTTGTCTTCACCAAAGACAACAAACTCATAATTACCGCCTCTGTTGTGCAGTTCACACGATATGACATAACCAAGCTCGAAAAAGTGCTCCAAGGAAGTAAAATTGATAGCCCTAGGCCCGCAGAACCGTTGTCATTGGCACCAAAGGTGACTCGCGGGGAAGTAGGAGGCAGCGGTGCCAATGTGAAAATACATATCATGACCATAATTACAAGGACGAGACCATAGTCATTACGGAGGCCGCGTCCATAATGCCCACCAAGAAATTGCAAGACGATACCCTCGGAAAACCTGGCTGGATATGTTCATTGCTGTTGGTTTGGCGAACCAAGTTCGCTCGCAACTGGAGGAAAACGCTCTGCAGCGAAACGCCCTGCCACTCAGCGCCTTGGCTGAGCAGTTTCTCCTACATGACTACAGCCTCGGACCGGAACCCTCAGAGCAGTTCTGTAAAAGCAAACAGCGAATGCCCTGCCGGGGCAGGACAGAAAATGCGGCTCGACAGCGCCTCCTGGATTGAATTTTCGAAAACTCTGGTGGTTCGCATGGCAATGTTACCGATATCGCATTGCTTCAAGACTTGGGTATCGGCTCTCTTTCCATCATTGAACTTCAGAGCGAAATAGAAATCTCGTTTGGGATAAAGTTTAAAGACGATTATCTGCACTTGCAGTCCGGTGTCGAAGAGATCATGTCTTGTGTCTCTTGAATATATTGACTAACCTTTTTGAGCTCAAGCGTCTGTAATTGATGGGCGTTTTGGTTGAATTTGGCATCTAAAGTACAAGACAAAGAGATAATAATCGTCTTCTTGGTAAAAAAAGCTCCAGCATGTCCAAGGCCATCTTCCTCACAAAGCACACAAGCAGCATCACTATATAATCGTCAAGGCTTTCTTCCGTATACGATGTATATTCTCTGGATGCCACCAACACGCTTCATTTCCTCGGCGGTGTGCTCGGGCAGACTCTCCAGTTGATCCCGCGGCATGGAAAGCGGCAAAGCTACATACCCTATGGTTAGTTTCACAAGAGAAAAGAAGAAAGCGGGCTAGGAACTGACCGCGAGCCATGGGTAAGAAACCCGCAAGTGCAGAACTAATCTGCCAAGTGCTTTTCTGAGCCATCTCTGGGTTGGGATTTAGCGCTCCTACCGGGACGTCAATTACTTCCTGGCGCACGTCTTGCATTCCGGCATCTTCAAGCCATTTCTTTATCCGAAGCGGGTAATCGTACCCAAAGCCATTGACGGTGAAAATCTCACGAATCATTGACTCGGCTCTCTCAAAGGCCCCCGGAGTAGGGGGGTTGTGGTCCTGTTCTAGGATCTCAACCCAGCCCCCTGGCTTGACAAGGTCGCACAGGTTTTTGACAGCCGTCGCGGCTGGGCAGTATTCACAGCCAGGTAGGACTAGTCGTTGGTGTACATAGTCGAAACTACCCAGCCAGCTCTGTGGCCAAGGCTTGTCTACCCGCTGAACCTGGAGCGAAATACCTCCAGGCGGAGTAGGCGGGAACATCCTCTCTACCGAGTCCGTTCCTATCAAGACGTTGTCTTTACATCGTAGGTATGCGCGAAGATCCACGAGCCATCGTCCTAATATGAATTCAGTACTGGTTGAGGTATAATGGCCTCCATAGTTGGTGTGGGCATACCATCTGCTGTCCCGCTATCCAAAATTCGCAAGCCATTTCGCCCAAGGTCGACTGGGGCAAACACAAGCTTGCCCATGGCGTCCAAGAAAACTTCATGTTGCGCAGCTAAACGAGCCACTTCCTCGTCATGATATTCTAGATGATATTCTCCTTCGGCTCTCGCCCTCACTAACGGGTCCGCGTCTCTCACGCCTGCCGAGTTGTCCATTTGTAATGTATTTGGGATGCTTGTCTGGAGTGACATGAGGTACTCTGAGGCTTAATGAGTTTAAAGCAGCTGTTGAAATATCGTATGCACGTAGCTAAGCCTGCTGAGCCTCTGACCAAGATGTCCAGCATAGACTGGTTGCCTCACCAAAGGGGCAAGTTTAATCAAGTTTTTGAGACTATGCAATTATCCGTCCAATGCGGCATTTTAGGAATTTTACTCTTATCACAGAATCATTCGATAATAAAACTTTATGTACGAACGACGTGTCATTGCAGCATACCCCAGAGCACTCGTATAGACTTAACAACGCAGGAATAACAAGCACCAGATATAGCTATTATGTAACGAACGACGAGTTTCTCCACGCCATATCCTCGGATTAACCCCTCTTCGTCGCAGGTGGGTGGAGGCGGCCAAGATAAGGGCTGTGTGTGGATTTTCATGACAAGACGCGTATGCGGAAGCAACGAATTCGGCGTTTCCTATTTGGAAGTTTCGAATGGACCCATATAGTAGATTTAGATTAATGTGTCAACGTATAGGAGCTCACGCAATCGCAATCAGGCAAGAGACATGCCCGTTGGACCTTCATCATCTGGCACTTCGAACAGTTTTCACGGCCTTTGACATTTACAATTGAGCCTCATCACACAGATTGGAAGCTGTAATGAGCAAAATGACAATGGACTTTTCATTTTCGAGCCATACTCCAATAGACGGCATTTTTGGCGAAACTAGGATTTCAGCTATTATTTATTCCTTTGTCATTGTACTGGCGATTGTTCCGGTGTGCATTTGGTACACAATCGCAGAGGGAACCGCGGGAAATCGTGCAATTTCGTATCTAATCAGCGTAAGAACTTCAAGGCACAGACTGGAATCCATGTATATTAATGTTTCATCGTAGCTTTATCTTTGTTGGCGGTATCCGATCAAATCAACTGATGGAAAGACTCCTCTCCCGACAGCCTCGTACACGTTCCCCAACGGACAAGGCAACGTCGCCAAGTTTTTGGAAGGTGAAGAAGGGTCGCGTAAATGGCAACAGGAATTAGGGTCAATGTATCGAATTTGGACGGGGTTCGACTCAGAAGTGTAAGTTGACAAGGATTCAACATATCAAAAAGCCCGTGGTGTTCTGACACATTTGCAGTGTCTTGATGCGGCCAGAACAAGTGCAAACTGTCTTTAAAGACTCTCATTTGCACGTCAAAGGTGAATCTATGGATTCTGGCTGGCTCTGTGGGCAGGTTCTCGGAAATTGTCTAGGTCTGTTGAATCAGGGAGAGTGGGATACAGTTCGTGCACCTTTCGTCAACACTTTTCATCGCAATCAGTCGTCATCCTACATTCCACTGATTCAGCGGAGAGTGGAGAGACACTTTAACAAATTGGAGGAAGCGAAAGAACAGAGCGACAAGGTCTTGCTAGTCAAGCCTTCTAAACATCTCAAGTTGCTGCCTCTTTGGATACTATGTGATATCATCTATGGTGATCTCACGGCAGCGATGGAGCTCCAGTTTGAGGAGATTATTCCCCTTCGAGAGACACTCTGGTGCCAGATCATGAACGGTGGTGTTTCTCGATTCTCTCTCAGTCGATTCCTGCCAATTTCGACCAACGAAAAACTGAAGATGTTTAAGGAGAAGTGGACTCGCTTCAACGATCAAGCTTACGACAGGGCTAAGCAAGCTTATCCCAGCCATCCGATTGTCGGGTTGTACGATGCTGTTGAGCAGGGGGTCATGTCCAAAACCCAGCTACTTCACACTCTTGACGAGGCACTATTCGCCAATCTAGACGTCACAATTGGGAATTTCTCCTGGATCCCACTTTTCCTCGCTGCACATCCGGATGTTCAAGACGATCTGCGGCTGGAGATAACTGCAGCAAGAAAGGAAGACACAGAGGACTTGTGGTCTCAGTATATTACGGGAAGCTCGACGTTGCTGATGGCTTGCGTGCTTGAATCCGCACGTCTCAAACCCATGGCACCCTTTTCCATCCCACAGGCTGCGCCAACTGACCGTGTCGTGGATAATTTTGTCATACCCGCCGGCACAAACTTCATTGTGGACACGTATGCCCTCAACGTTCTCGATCCATACTGGGGTAAAGACAATACCCAATACCGACCGAGGCGGTTTTTAGAAACCAAAAGCGCCGGCGAGATGCGCTACAGGTTCTGGCGCTACGGCTTTGGACCAAGACAATGTCTCGGCAAAAATGTTGCAGACGTGGTGCTTAAAGTGCTGCTTACGCACATGGTGGAGAATTATCGCCTCAGGCTTTCGGCTGGAGATGGTACGAATATTGGGGATTGGGAACGTGTGGTTGGCTCATGGATAAGCTCAAGCAACTCCACCATTATTTGCGAAAGAGTAAATTGAACCCGTCTGTGAATCTGGAACACGGTGAATTTTCCGATGTGAGAGTGAGGGGAGAGGAGAGAAGAGAATCATTGAGCTATCAGTCATATTCTAGCTTTTAAGTAAGAAAATGAAAAATAGTTGGGGGAAAAGGCACGGCACAGCCTGCGATGGCAACTAATCATCAATGTGAATAATATGCCCGTGACTTGACATTTTACGAATGGTGGGAAAATTAGGAGAAGAAAGGCAGGCTGAAGACACTGGCGATAGCGACAGCTAGTATATCAATTGCTATTTATCTGGGGGGCAAGGGTCGTCGATGACCAGATATTGGATGCGAGACTTGTCCTCGAGTTAACACTCTGCAAGCTAAACCGGTACCAATTCCATGGCACAGGGCCAAGCGTTTCTCAAATCATACTTGTGGGCAATTTTCCAACCGCTCTGCGCAGCAAGAGAATCCCACTCCCATTCTTCTCTCTCCAGACCATTTGCAGCCATCATCACCGACAGGTCTGCCATGCGAGACAAATGGCCGGATCGGCCCTTTTTCAGCAAAATCTCGAGCAGCACAAGCCTTGATTTTGGGCCAGGGATAATTGCTTTGCGAATGTTCTTCAAAATAGTGACGACATCATTGTCCTTCCAGTCATGGAGACACCATTTCATGCAATACACTTCATAGCTGGGGATCTCCTTGAAGAAATCCCCAGCGTGCAGGTTTTCTGTGCTGACCCTGTCTCCCACGTCTCGGTACAGGCCGTCGGGGTCACAGAAATTGGCAACTGCTTGGTTGATAACCTCGGGGCGATCAACGATGCCACCGCGCAGATTTGGGAACTTCCGGAGCAACATGGCAATCAGCCCGCCGCCGCCACCGCCAATGTCGACAATGAGTCCACCGGCGACCTGCTCCCAGGGATAGTCTGCGAGGATACCCGGAGCTTGTGCAATGGCGCCGCCGCCCAGCGTCCTGTGCACACGATCCAGCGATCCCTGTGCCGCAAACCAGGAGAACATATCCAAGTCGGTGTCAAAGTTGATCTGAGACGGCATTCGCTTCTCGCCCTGGCGGCAGGAGGCTGGGATCCCACGCGCCATGTCGTAGAACTCGTTGCCGTAAAGGTCAACCCAGTTCCTCCAGCCGGTCCAGTGATCCTTGAGCAGCAGGGTCGAGCACTCGTTATTGGAGTAGACGGCAGTATCCTGCTCATAGGAAAAAATTCCTGCGCTCTGCAGAACCCGCATGACCTGTTTCAGCCTGTCCTCGCGGGCGCCACATGCTTGGGCGAGTTGGGCGACGGTGAGCGCGCCCTGCTGCTGAAGGATGTCGGGGACGTCCAGCTCGACCGCAGCATTCAAGCACTTGCAGTTGGCCGAGCCTGCAGGATGGCTAAGTACGTCTTGGAAAACAGCTGGGGGAGGGAGGTAAGGAGATGGAGGCGGACAAACCTAGAAAGTGGTCGGCAAGGATGACTGTTCGCGGTTCGAGCAGCAGCTTAGTTTCCTGCAGCAAATCAACGGCCTCAGTTGACAAGTCGTAGAGGTGTTTTTCCGGGAGTTCATCTGGGCTGTGCAGGCTCTGCGTCAACTCTTGCCTACAATCACTGCCCAGAGTCTTGAGGGCAGTGCGCAGGGCGCCATTCAGCTCAGTGAGCGCTGTCTCGATGTCTCCGATGGCCATGATGATAGTAGGGACAGTGCTAGTGCCTGGTTGTATTGGCAGCTGTGAGGGTGTTCAACAAGAACCAAAGTCTTGGAGGAAGTATTCCGTGAGCTGGTGGAGAGTTATCACGCTCTGCCCCGAAGCCATGCTCCATGTCTATACCGCCATGTTTCTTACGTCCTGCCTGAACGAGGCATCTCCGACTTGGCGTCTTCGGCGTCGCTATTCTTTATTTGGCATGGCGTCAGGCGGCCCTACATATGCAGGTCCGAGACTCAGCCACCGGCCGGCTTGAAGACCGCACGTCGGCGTCGGGCGGTACGAGGCATCCGGGCGGAGAACGGGACATGGATCACCAGAGGTCACTCCGAGCACTGATCTGCAGATCCACCGCGGCTAACGATATTGCATCTACATTATGGCAAGGGAATTTGGTACCTTTGTGTCGTCGGCGGCTAGGGATGTTGTGGTGTTATCTTGCCAAGCTCGGCTCTTTTGATTCGAATATTTCTTTATCGAGGTATTGCTGTAGAAGATGAAATATCCACCGCATGCCACAGTATAGCCGAGCAAGATAGATTATCAGGGCCCGCAGTGGGAGGCCAGGAGATCCTGTGTTGTGACCCCATTGCTTCCGGGAGTTATAGGACTCCGTGCTGTGCATATATCTATCTGCTATCACATCATATACCGTAGGTGCTCAAAGTTATATAGTTGCATGATAGCCAGTCATCTTATTCTGGCCACATCACCTGGGCTCCTGCAGAAGGCAACTGGTCGTGATATGGATCACTGTCGTGCCACCATGGATAACATCATCTTATCCGAGCTTTCCAAAGGCCTTAAGATATCCAAGCACGAGATCACCCCTAACTCAACCTTCCATCGAGCTGGTGGTGATTCCATTACAGCCTTGCGTGTCTCCGCTGCCTGCAAAAGGCAGGGTGTATCTATCAACGTGTCGTCCATCCTCAATAGTCAAACCATCTCTGAGCTACTGAAAGGCGCAACATGGCTTCCCGGCCACGAGGAAACTTTCACACCAGAGGGGACGACCGAAAATAGACACATCATTGGGGACAGAGATGCATCCGCATCACCGAGTCTTGACGCTGCTACCCCTGACAACTTGTCTTCGGCTACGACCAGCACAAATGGCACGAATGGCATCAACGGAATCAACGGCATAGATGGTGCGCATGGCAACCCCGGTATAATCAAGACGCATGACTCTCAAGGCATGCAAATGCATCAGAGAAGCAGCAGACGTACCGACGCCGGTGTTTGCAAGATGATGTCTCTCCAATCTTCTCTCGTGCTGGACACTAGGGCAAGGCCGGGTAACAATGTTATTAGCTATTTTCAAGAGTATTTGTACTCGCCGGCCCTAGTTGCCACTTTGAAACGGGCATGGCAACAAGTCATTCGGTCGGAGCCTATTTTTCGCACCGTCTTCGACGACGAAATGTTTTGGGACGACGGAATGGCCCTTTTCTCATGGTCAGAGAGCATCCACCATGACGAAGGACAGTTTGAGCAAGAGCTCCAGTCCACCAGCACACCGGGGATGCTGGATCCGGCGACGGAATTCAAGGTAGTGACCCTGGTGGGGAAGAAGAGCGTCCTTGTCTGGCACGTCCATCACGCTCTCGTTGATGGATACTCTGCGCACTTGCTCCTGCAAAAGGTTGACACGGTGATGAATGGCGGCCAGATTAGCCAAGGCTATTCTTTCGCCGACTTGGCCCGCGGTTGGCAAATGTACCAGGCTGTATTTCAGCAACAAGCGACAGGATTCTGGAGAGAGTACTTGACGGGCATGACGGCCGTCAACAACGATCTACTACTGCCACCGCCTCAGGACCAGCATCATGGCGACACGCCGTCGTCAGGTGTTGCCACCTTTTCCGTACCTCTGCAAGGTAGCCTGCGATTCGCCCAAGCAAATGATTTGCCACTCTGCTCTATATATTACGCCGCCTGGGCACTGACTCTCTCCATTTACACCGGGTCAGACTCTGTTATGTTTGGCGTCTTGTTCGCCAATAGGTCGCTCCCGGTTCCCGCCATTCGAGATACCGTCGGCCCCATGATGAATACCCTGCCGCTGTTGTTGTGTCTAGATCGGAGAAAAACACTGAGAGACCTTCTTCACTACACGGCTGAGCGCCTATCCAAGCTTCGGGAATATGAGTGGAGTGTTCCCGACGAGCGCTGCCCGATGACATCGGTCTTGGCCATGCAGTATGACTACGAGGCCAATACGGATCCAAAGTTTCAAACTGAATCCTGTTATACTAGACTGCAGTCGAGCATCCCCGTAAATTTGTTTCTTGGTCCAAAGGACAGAATCCAGATCAACTACGACAAGAAACTTTATGACCATTCAGACATTGACAAGCTGGGTCAAATGTACACTCACGCTATCGGTGCTCTTATAGGGTCCGAAACAATTCTATTAAATGAGTATTTCAGGCGCCCTCTCCCACCCGGCATGTGGAAGGAAATCATGTTGAACGGCAACTGTTCATCAACCCAAAGTCGGTGTCAAGGGGAAGAAACACTGACGAGCCTCTTTGATGATCGTCTTGAAAGCATTCCGAGCGCTCCCGCCGTCATCAGAGGGGACAGCTCAATTACCTATGCTCAACTTGACGAGGCAGCCACAAAGGTGGCGTCCAGCTTGTGCAAGACGGTATCTCCAGGTGACGTCGTATGCGTCCACGCTGATCGCTCCATCAACTGGATCATTGCCATCTATGCAGTCCTCAGGGCTCGGGCAGTGTATTGTCCTTTGGATCCGGCCATACCTGCAGAGCTGAGGGATACCTATTTTCAAACCTCCGGAAGCGGACTGTTTCTGTCCACCTGGGACGTATGCAAAGACAAGAAACCACAGTCAACGCGTCTCTGCTATTCTGTGGAGGAGCTTCTACATCGCGCGGCAAACCCCTCCGATGTGTCCACTCTCTCACAAAGACCCACCGCATCTAAGAAGGATACAGCATACCTTTGCTTTACCTCTGGCTCTTCTGGCCTGCCCAAAGGAGTTGCATGCACTCATGAGGGGATTGTGGCCTTTCAGAAAGACTACGACGCTCGTCTTCGCATGCGGCCACATCTCAAAGTAGCCCAAATCATGTCTCCGGCTTTCGATGGAAGCATACACGAGATATTTTCCAGCTTGTCTTATGGTGGAACCATTTTACTCAGCGAGACAGCCGACGTATTGAGTAATTTGCAGAAAGCTGATGTTGCCATGATAACCCCGTCAGTCGCGAAACTATTGAACCCTCGCGACTACGAAAATCTCGAGGCCGTATGTCAACACAAGCCTGTTAACTTTAGTCTATCCCCAGTGCTGATATTGAAAACAGATTTACCTGGTCGGGGAGCATCTTCCACAAGCTGTTTGCGATGCGTGGTCTGCCGTGATGCCCGCCTTCAATCTCTACGGCCCAACAGAGTCCAGTTGTGGTTCGACTTGTAAAAGGCTAGTGTGCGGAGAGAAGGTGACCATTGGATGCCCTGTGCAATCAACGCGAATCTACATCTTGGACCAGCACCAATGCCCGCTTCCTCCTGGAGTTATTGGTGAACTCTATACAGCGGGGGTGCAGGTCTCGCGGGGATACATTAAACGGCCAAAAGAGACAGCAAGAAACTTTTTAAAAGACACAATTTGCCCCGAGACGAATCAAACAATGTACCGAACTCAAGATCGTGGTTACTGGAATCAGTCAGGAGAGATTTGTCTTCTGGGACGGTCCGATAGACAGATTAAGCTGCGAGGCTTCCGTCTTGACCTGGACGATCTCGAAATCAGAATGGTTAAAGCCTCTAATGCCACCTCGGTAGCCCTTGCTCGCAAGGAGGATATACTCGTGGCAATGATACAGCCTGAAATCACAGATATCGCCTTGTTTGAGGAGGCGATCAAAAAGGTGCTTCCGCCACAGGCGCTGCCTAGACTCATCAAAGCCGTTGAAAAGTTCCCGCTGGGCAATGCGGGTAAACTGGACTACAAGGCGATTTCAACAGCATTCTCTTGGGAAGAGGCAGAGGCACCGTCCCCTGATCCCTCTGTGTCGCCATCAATCGCCATAGACCACGTGAGAACTAAAATTGCTTCTGTTTGGCGAAGCGTCCTGAATCTGGACGATGGTCAGACGTTAAATGAAGATTCAAGCTTTCTGGAGCTCGGCGGTCACTCTCTTGAACAAATCGCCCTGTCCAGTCGCCTATCCTCCGCTCTCAACACGCGAGTCACTCTAGCCGACGTGATGAAAAATATAACTTTCGGCGACCAGGTTAAAAGGTTTAGGTCCCCTGCTTCACATTCCGCCAACGGTCAACTAGTCGCTGGGTCAAGGCCTACTGGGCAACTCACTGGCGTCGGCGGCCAAATCGAAGCTGCATGGCGGTCTTTGCTATGTCTGGATAGCAACTACTCTCTCAATTATGATTCAAATTTCGTAGAGTTGGGTGGTGATTCAATCCTTCAGCAGAAATTGACTTCTTTCCTGTCTACCATTGGACAAGAGAGGATACCGTTGCTCGATGTCATCAAACGCCCCCGTCTAGGCGATCAGGTCGCTCTGCTCTCCGCTTCCCATATTGACCGTCAGGTGGGCGAGTCTGGGCCAAACACTGGCTCAGTTTTAGGCCACAGCACTTTATCTCCGATCGAACAAGAATGGCTTCAAAAGTGTAAACTGGACAAAGGTTCTTCCTCATTTAACGTGAATTTTGTCTGTGCCTTGAGCCAGGATTTAGACATCAAGCGGTTGGAGCGGGCGTGGAACAAGGTGCTAGCACGCCATGCCATCTTGAGCTCTATTTTTCCAAATGATCACAATCGGGTGCATTCCAAAACGCCACCCCGAGTGATTCTCACAAATAACATTAGTATTCGGCAGGAGGTCAACCGAGAATTCAAGTTGCATGAGGAGCTTCCCATACGCGTATTTATTTCACCGACCGCCCTTGTCCTAGTGGCGTCGCACATTGTTTTGGACCTTACAGCTTTGAACGTCATTCTCTCGGATGTTCAGATCTATTGGAATGGCAAGAGTCCTGACACCGTGCCGAGGGACTATGGCCAGACAAGTCAGTGGAGCCGCGATATTTCTCAAGACAACATTGATTTCTGGGGCCATCTTTCAGATTTACTCCCTTACTGTGCACCAACCCGCCTTAACTACGGTGGAAAGTCTCGGGTTTGCAAAATACTGCCAGAGACTTTCCGGGCCATGGTTCATCTTTCTACGAAACACGGTATTACACTACACCAACTTTCTTTGGCAGCAGTTGCGCTTGCAATCCGACATGGCGGCCCTGATGGCAGGTCTGCCGTCCTTGGTTCGCCGTATCTTAATCGTGGCGTGGAAGACTTTGACACTGTTGGCCTTTTCCTAGAGCCGTTGGTAATACGTGTTGACGACCCTTGGTCAAGTAAAGCAGATTTAATCTATCGAAGCAATAGTCAAGAGGACCCCTGGACTCTGGCGTTTTGCAAGAGAGTGGCTACGGCAAGCCAACAGGCCCTTTCTCACTCTATGCCCTGGAACGAACTCCTCAAACAGCATGCTGTCGTGTCGGATCACCCAAACGTTCCTTTCATCGAAGCAATGGTGACGTTTCATGATAACCGTGGACGGGAACCGCTTTCCATCGACGGGACTCAGCCATTGTACACATGGTGCGAAGGCGCCAAATTCAAAATCATGTTTGAGTTCCTAGCTCTCAACAGCGACACCGCGATGCTAAGAATGGAATATGACACCCTGTTGTACAGTGAGACTGAGGCTAGTTATATTCAATCCAGGGTGATAGCGGCCATTGATGGGCTCACACAACAGTTGGACAGAGCAGGAATTGAAGACAAAATGCGGCAGGCCACGCTGAGCCAACAACACCCGAGCGACGACGGAAGTAAATATTTTGGCGCCAAGTTGGCCGAGTTGTAAACTTGTATTTACCCTTGTTGTAGCTTAATACTGGCAAGTTGCTGTGTTCGGTAGCTGTTACGTCCGTGGTTTCTGACAATTTTTCCTCCTTTTCATTTTTCTGTTGACCGATTTGCCAAAGTTGTACAAATCTCACCATGCAGCTCAAGAGTTTATTTCTCGGTCCTTTCTTATAGAGTGTGCTTACTGTGTCCGGCATTCGCAAACGGTCACTGGCTGGTAAAAGTTGACAAACCTCGGCATGTTTCCTGAGGGTGCATGTGTGCTCCATCATTTGAAGGCTGCACAGCGAGGGTGGCGGAGCATCGGAGCGCCCGAATAGTGTCTGGTGGCATCAAGCAGATAACCAGACGGATCATGATCGGAGCGCTACGGCGACATGGGGTCTGGTACTTGGAGAATCTCTAATGGAGGCCTTGAATATCCGATACCCTCAAGATATATTACGACGCTTAAGTACTAATTGAAGTGGTCCGGGTGTGGTTGTAAAGAAATCAGTTGCTCCCGTAAACATTCTGGAGCCATCCTCACCAGCGGCGAAAGCAAAGTCAAATTCCGTGACCATCATCGCCGCTAAAACCTGAATTTCCATTAAACTCAAATTCTTGCCAAGGCAAGACTTTTTTGCCTATATAATTTTAGTGCCCGCAGTCATGTTATATTTGTTTTAGACAGGGTGGTGCTGACCAATTGCCCATGGAACAAACGCGTTTTTATTCAATATTAAATTCGGTTGCGTGGTGAATCGCTCAGGAATCCATTTCTCCGGTTGAATAAAGTACCGTGGATCTAGATTATGATTAGAACTTATTCCTCTTTCTATTTAGCCTTTTCTTTCCATTTTTTTCTTCGTCCCCATATATATCTCACCTCTCTCTGATGTCGATATTCGCCAAGAATTCTCGAATAAGAGCAAGGTACTCGGGATTTTGAATCAAGTAGTACATCATGTTTATCAGAACTTGGCGGACAGGATCACTAAATAAAATCAAACTATATTACTAAAAGGGGAATTGGCCGACAAAAGCAACGTACCTGCCCGCGATAATAACAAGTACAAAATCTCCCAAGACATATCGCCAGTTTTGCTCGACTCCCCCGGCTTCCTGGGCTGCGCTAAGACCATGGCCAATAATATTTTGACGCTTATTCTGGTTATTCTATTTCCATAAGTGTTAGCATTATATGGCATCTCTACTAGATCCCGGATTGTAAACCTTGATATTCCTCTCCAACTCGGCGTGTGCCCAGGAAAAAAACTGCTTGTAGTACTTTGTTCTTTCGATGAATGGGACACCCATTAATAGATGCTTGAGCCACGGCACTGCTGCCAACGGACCCAGAAGGTAGTGTGCCGAATAATATAATCGCAAAACAGGATGTTCTCCTTCAGTGAGGTTTCTAAAGTCTATACTTAGACCAAATAAACCCATTACGTCGAATGTATAATACTCGAGCCAAGAGGAAATATTGATGCTTTCATGTTGACGATTCCGAAATTGATTTACAATCTCTATGGCTTTCGAATAGATTAACGGCTCTGCTTTTTCTAATGCTGGTAAAAACGTCGGTTATTTTCTCTATAGCTCTATAGGGAAGCAGGGTGAACAGCTTACATTTAACGCTAAAAGCTTGACCCCATATTTTCCGCCGGTAGGCGTGAATCTTTTCGTCTCTTGTGGAATCTAGAGATACCATTGGTTGAACGATGTCGTAATAGGCTGCTTTTCCACACTTGGATTCCGGCCTGTGGACTTGTGTATACGCCTCTAACCCAAACACGGTGGCCTCACTCGGACCTGTGAATTTGCAAGTTGGTACCAGTCATACATTGCGTGCTGCTCTCGGGATAAAAAAAACGAGTGCGAAATATTATTTTTAAGTATGACATACCTGTCCTCACCATATTTCCATACTGTACTCGAAGGAGAGCCTACTCAGCCACAACTTTCGTTCTCAATCGGCGCGGCGCCATGACTTGCTTGGTGTGAGGAGCATAGACTGGAACCCGCAGGTGGCCCAGTGGCGGCATATCTTGAGACTCGGCGAGATGCCGTGGTTGAGAGACCATAAAATAGCTGGTGAGACTGTTTTCCCGGGCGCCGGGTATGTCGTCATGGCCGTGGAATCCCTCAAGCAATTAGTTGAGAGATCCGTGGCTGTAAAGGGTATTTGGCTTCAAGAAGTGGCATGCTTGCATCCGATCCGGTTCATCCAGGGAGCAGAACAAGTTGAAACACAACTCACTATTTCTTCCCCAAATCTCGTTAGTGGAAATAGTGTATTATTACAGTTTCGTATTTTCGTTTACGAAAATGGAAGTTATTTGGAGTGCGCGAGTGGGCTGATTGGCGCCGTCGTTGATGCCAAGGGGCGTGACCAAATTATCTGCATTGGCCCATGGAATTCGAATGATTGGTTCCAAAGAATCTCATCATCTTGCTAGGGAGTTGAGATGGATCCTTACAACGTAACTGGTGCATCATCAGTCACTTATGGCCCGGCATTTCAAGGCCTCAGACAACTGCAGCTCGGCAAAACAGGCCAAGTCATCGCCCAGCTTAATACGGAAATCTGGGAGTCTGTGAACCCTGAATCGTTGGGTCCGCCTTACACCATACATCCTTCCACACTGGATGGGCTTGTGCAAATAGTCGTGCCAGCCTCTTCCAAGTTGCGCTCGATCTTCCGACCATGGTTCCCGTGCGTGTCGACAGCATATGGATAGATTGTCGCAATGAGAGTTTACGAAGCGGCGAGATGTGTGTCCGAGGCGAGTGCAGACTTCGAGGACATCGTGGTGCATCGGCAGATGTTGTTGGCACCGCGAATGGTTCAAACACTCCGCTCGTGTATTTGGAGGGATTACAAACAACATTCGTTGATGACAACAATGTAGTCTCCGGCAATAAGCCCACTAAGCCTCGCCACTTGTGTACTCGGATAATTTGGAAACCCGACCTGGAATTGATGGATCAGGAACAAATATTGAGGCATTGTATTCACGATAGGCCGCCTCAAGGCCACGACGCTGTAGAGGGTCATCGAGATATGACACTGGCTATTATGGCATTTGTCGAGGAGGCCACCGAGTATGTCGATGACGAGTTACCGCCAGCCAGACTTGAACCACATCTGCAGTCGTTTCTGGGCTGGATAAGGTATTAGAGGCAAAAGCTTGTAGAGGAGAATTACCGGTGAGTTTAAACGACGTTCAAACCATCATTGCAAGCCCAAGCACGCGCAATACTATCCTGGAGTGTTAAGGAACAAAGTTTAGAAGGCGCATTCTTCATTCATATTGGTCACAACCTCTTGAAGGTCCTAAACGGCGAAATTGATCCTGTAGAGGTCATTTTCCAACATGGTCTCGCGGAGCAGTACTACGGAGATGTCCTAGCAAGCAAGCACCATTCTCACGCTGCTTCCACATATTTTTACTTGCTATGCTTCAAGAATCCTTCAATAAAGATACTAGAGGTTGGAGCTGGCACAGGCCGGCAGACCTTGCCGTTGCTTGAGACAATGAGCGGCGACGGCGTGAAGAAATGGGAGCGGTACGACTATACCGATATCTCGCCGGCATTTCTCAGCCAAGCGAGTATAAAGTTCCAAGGCTACTCCAGCAAGATGGCATTTACCATCCGCAACATCTCCAAAGATCTAATATCGCAGTCCTTTGTTGCAGCAAGTTATGATCTTGTCGTAGCGTCGCATGTGCTGCACGCCACCGACATTCTCCACGAATCTTTGACCAACGTCCGAAAGCTTCTCATGCCTAGCGGAAAGCTGTTGCTCTTTGAGACGACAAAGCCAGATGCCCTCATTGCATTCGCTTTTGGCCTGTTGAAGGGTTGGTGGAGTCCATTGGATCACGAAGAGCGATCTTTGCACAGTCCCTGCCTCTCGGTAGAACAATAGGACTTGTTCCTTAGAAGAATACAGTTTTCTGAAGTTAATATTGAGATTACGAGACAGGAAGAAACTCAGACTCGGTTTAGTAGCATCATGGTTGCAACTGCTATCGCCCCTGTGGCCAATATTCACATAACACTCTGTACTTCACCAGAGGTTGGAATAATCATGGACGGGGGCTCGAAAACGCAAAATATGATTGCGGACGCCATGCTGGCGGCATTCAGCTCGGTCATACAAGAACACAAGATTCCGGGTCTAATGCAAAGCAATGGCAAAACATTTGACCTAGTCGTGTCGCTGCTAGAAGTCGATTCCGTTTTCCTGGATGGCATATCTGAGCCAGACTACATGAACCTGAGGTCGACGCTAGTGCAGAACAAGCATGTTCTTTGGGTAATGAGGAATCCCACTTGGAGCAGAGCAGAGCCTAGCCATGCCCTCGCAGACGGACTCGGCCGAGTGTTAATGTCTGAAGACCTGGACAATAAATTTGCGACACTATATATCTCGATGGTTGGGACCGCAATGCGCAGAAAACCTCAGAGCTAGTGACGCTACTGGGGAAAAGGTTAAGGATTCTTGAAAAACCAGTAGACACAGAAATGAAGTATATATCCGCTGACAATATGCTCCAAATCAGCCGTGTCTGCGAGAATTGCACTATGAATCATACAATCGCAGACAACATTGTTCCACGCTACAGGCGTAATGTCCAAGTCAGCGCCACACCAGGACTAAAAATCAGGATGTACCGGCATGGCCAGGTTGCCATAATGGGCTGGGTAGAGAGTGAGGAAGAGTGGAGCAAACTACCCCTACAAGATGATGAGGTCTTGGTCCAAGTCAAGGCCATTGGTCTCATGGATAGAGATTTTATAATGGCAGAGGGGAAACTATTCGGCCACGACTTGGGAACAGAGTGTGCTGGTCTGATCCAACAAGCTGGATCTGCATCTGACTTCCAACCCGGGGACCGCGTGTGTCTTATTTCGGCACCAAAACCAGCAGCAACTGCAATCCGTGTCAAGTCTGCCGCTGTTGTAACTATTCCCCAGCATTTAACAATTCCGGCGGCATGCTCCATAGCAAGTGCAGTTTGGCTGGCTTACCATGATACAAGAAGGCGAATCGATTTTAATTTATAAGGGTATGAAGCCTATGGGGCAAATGGCGATACGCTTGGCCAGGCAGCTTCAGGCTATTCTATATGTTACCGTGGACTCGGATACAGAGCGGACATACCTTTCCACTCATCTTTAAGTTCCCGATGAAAATATCTTCCGCATTGAAGAAGTCGCCCAGCTCACCAGGACATCCATGATGGATGTGATTGTTGGACCCCTCGATATTTATTCTTAGCTTTTAAGTCCCGCTAATAATCGCCGCGTCGAGTAAACATCAGGTTATGAAGGTTTTTTACTAGGCCTTGGCTGTTACAGTGCTTGCACCAGCATTTAACTAGGGCAACCAATTAAAACCCCGACATATTTGATTGATATTTATCTTTAAACTGCATCTGGACACTTGCCCTACTATTAGATACTTGACGATTTGACTTGGCGTTTCATCTCAGTTACAAATCCCATTTGCCGACCAGTTCCAAATAAACGTTCTGGTGCAATACCTACGCAGTGAGCTGTTTGATGTACTCTTTTCTAGCCGAAGTTGATCTGTATCACATCTGGTAGGTCTGCCAAGGAATAGCGCCGCCCCGCAACCTGAAAACACGAACACCAGACATCTAGACATGTGCAGCTTCGACTGGACCAGCTAGCTCTCCCACCACACGCTTTACAAGGACCAGACTTTGCCTGTGTCGCCTAAGTTTAATGTAGCTCGGCCAAGAACGCTGAAACAAGACTTGGCGCCTTAACCCCCACTTCACGCCGCAAAAAAATGCCAACTATATCCCGGCGCAGTTTATGTTGAACGTTTTATCGGTCTAATTTCATTGATAATTATCCATAAAACTCGCTCCTTCCTGTAACCTTACCAAACCTTATAATTACTTGTAGCACTCAAGTCCTTTCTTTCTTCCTCGCTCTGTAAAACAAGCTAGCCACGGAATCTGGAAAACCAAGGTATTTTACTTTATACACGAGGGACGCATCTTGAGTTTTACTTTATTGTCTGTGACTTTGCAATATATAAACCACACCCGCCACCTCTTTCTTGACTATTAAAATTGCATGTGCCAGCAACCTTTCTCCAAATCCAACATTAAGCAACATATACTTCCTCGGCTACCTCTACGGTTGCTCATATAAGACGACAAAATGTCAACTACGACCTTGACAGATTTGGCCTCCGAGACCCAGTTTGCCGGTCCCCTCTGGCTACGTGAGGGAGTTGGAGCCTTGTACGCTAAAGGCGAAGTCCACACCGGACCATTCTCCATGCCGCTTCTTCGTATGGCCGGTCTGGATAAACTTCCCACAACAGGACAAATTTCTATCTTGGACTTGTGTTGTGGAACCGGCATTACAACTTACAACCTACATCTACTCTTCAAGGAGCAAGGAATACAAGACAATGTAGATTTGACATGCGGAGACTTATCCGCTGGACAGCTCCAGTTCCTGGACCGGCGGATCAAAGAGATGCAGTGGAAGAAGACAAAAACTATACAGATAAATGCCCAGGTTCCTCTTCGTGTTTCTTTGAAGCTCTTGGATTAGATAGGCTAATATTACTAGAAAACCAACCTACCAAGTCATGTATTTGACTACATTACCTGCGTTTTTGGGCTCATGGTTATTCCAGATTCTCAGGCCGCCTTGGAGGGTATGTTTTCACCAGTTGACCCTTATTAGCCATGCACAACACTAGCTAACTCGTCTTAGAATGCTATCGTATGCTGAAACCAGGCGGTACCCTCGGTTGTGTAGTCTGGTACAAAGAACTCTGGAGCGACTACGTCCGCGATGCTCTCTGCCAGCTACCCGGGCATCCCAACTGGCCCGAATCTTCGGACGAGTTAACCGACGCCTGGGCACAAGGACCCTGGTCTAACCCTCATTACGTCCGCTCAATGCTGCACCGCCGCGGCTTTGTTAATATCGAGATGCAGACCAAGAGTATAATGATAGATTTCAAAAACGCAGAGGACTTTTATGAAGTCTACGACGCGTTTATCGAGTGGGTTACGGATAGATACTGGACGGAGCAAGAGAAGAAGCTTTGTCGGCCGTTAATTAAGCCTGCTGTTGTTCGATTCATGGAAGACAAGTACGGAAAGAACAAACCGTTTGCGATTGAAAAGATTGCTATTATGGCTGCAGCTAAAACCCCTGCGTTGTAAGGAAAGACTAATGCCAGCTTGACCTTGGATCTGTCTACATAGTCACCACCCTCTTTAGCTAATTTGTAGTCTGTTGAGCTCGGACATGACTCGCTTCGATCGTGGGTAAAGCTTTTGTCGTGTACTTGCGCATGTAGTTGACTAATTGGTTCGTTGGCCTCAATTACAGGTCCAGCAATAAACCCCCGTCGTTGCACAGGTTAATTTATTTCAGTCCTTTTATCTAGAAATATCGGTCCCTTCTCCCTTTTGAAGGTATTGGGCAATGCTATCCAAGCTGCTGTCCTTACCGGGCTTAATTACAAAAGGAAGTGATATTTGAAGACTGCCGGTGGAGTGTTGGTTGGCGCGGAAAGTCGCTGGAAGCCAGGGCCGTGGATCAATAGTAGCAAACTAGGTGTATGTCGTGCCCGCTTCACGTTTTTCGTTTTAAATCTTCTCAAGTAATATAGTTAGTATTAATACTTTTTTACACCGTTCTCAAGTTAAATTAAAGGGCACATACCTGGACCCCTATTACCCTGCCTTTGCGTCTATTATCGCAGTTTTTGGTTAGGCCGCTACTATAATACCCTATAAAAGGTACAAATAGGGTAGACCTGATATACGATATATAGCCTATCACAGCAAACTGAACACGACTTGTGTAAATAGAGTAGTGCTTTATTTCCTACGCAAGAATCGGCGGAATATGAGTTTTTTCTTCAAGTGCATGTTTTTTCCGGCTAAGTCAAAACCAGCTACCACGGAAATGGCAGGACAGACGGGTGAGGTTCTTTCAAGCGTCTTCCTGTGTGTGCCATACAACTAATTAAACATGACGTAGCGGAAACGTGGTTTACCTGCCTCAAAGTCCAGTATAGTGCGGTTAGCATCCTTCATCGGCCGCTGTTCAACCCACGGCTTGATATTCTTGGTGGCGGCCAGGTCCAACATCTCCCTTATCTCACTCGGGGACCCGATGTTCGTTCCGGCTACCCTCGCACCAGCGCCGCCCAAACGGGAGGGCGTGAAGGGAATCGGCCCCTCGGGCAGGCCTACCTGGACGAGTGTACCGCCGAGCCGAAGAAGACCAAGATAGTCAGAAAATGGCATCTGTGTTTGTATGAGTATGGGGGAAAAAATTTGCTGGTTGATTGTGGGAAACTGCATCCATACCTTGACTGACGCGACGGTATTTAGAATAATGTCAAAACGACGCGCATTATTGGTTGCCCACTCGTTTTCGGCGGCGGTCGCAATGTAGCCGTCACACCCCAGGTCCATTGCGTCTTTTTGTTTGTCTTGGTTCCTGGAAATGCCAATAACCTCCTTGGCCCCGAGCGCCTTGGCAAACAAGACGGCGAAATGGCCCAGACCGCCGAGGCCAATAACGCCCACGCTCTTTCCAGGCCCGCAGCGATAACGTTTGAGCGGAGAGTAGACTGTGACGCCGGCACAGAGCATGGGCGCGGCCAGCTGGGGTGGCAGGCCGGCAGGTATTTTGACGACAAAGTGTGACGGCCCGCGATAGTAGAGCGCGTACCCGCCTTGCGTCTTGCTGCCGTTTCGGTGTTTCGAGGCGTATGTGACGACACGACGGGCGCAGTAATTCTCGCTCTGCTCCGAACACTCGATGCACGAGTAATCCGAGTCTCGGTTGAGGCAGGCATCAGCCTGGGCACCCACGCCGACTACGTCGCCGACGCGAATGTCCCCCTCAGCTTGAGAGCCGACGCGTATGGCGACGCCAACAATTTCATGTCCGACGACGATCGGGTACGGTGCCTCGCGCTGCTACCGTCAGTTATTGCCGTCGCGCACGAGCATCCTGCTCCTTGCCATGGCAAGGGCTTCAAGACTTACCCAGCCCGACCGTAATGTGTGAAGGTCTGAGCCGCAGACGCCAGAGTGTGTAATCTTGATCTCAACGTCCGTCTCCTCCCACAGCTTTGGCGTGTACTGTTTCCAGACCATTTTGCCCTTGGCAGAGGAAGCGTCCTCGCCTACCCACCCCTCAAACGCCGTGTCAGTGGCCATGGTGTCTTGGTGTTTGAACTGGTACTCTAAGATGCTGTCTGTGTGTAGCTGAGAGAAACAGGTGTCGATTGTCGATTGCTTTGAAAGGCTTGCAGCAGAATCTTACAACATCGCCTGAAGTTTGCAAGGATAGACGGCTTTATGTGCCATGCCGATCGACGCGCACGGTATAGTACCCTACCATAGACTGACCTCCCATGACTAGGTACCTGACTTTGTGACATGGGCGATACGCCCCGAGGCCACTTGCCTAACTGTCTGTACAGTTTCTTTGACGTTGTGCATAAGCGCGCAAAAGCGTATTTCATGGGAATCCCGGCGATGGTTACATGGGCGCAAAAGACCCATTTTTGAGAGTTTGGGAGGGGGCCAAATGTCCACTGGTAAAGTAGATTATGTCAGAAGGTGGACTTTCCGATTGAACATTGATGGGATTCCGGCGGAGAAATTCAAGCCTGTGAGTGTGGCTTCCGTCGGAGTCGGTACTGTAATGCAAAACTCACAAGTACTTGGATGGAACCGAGTACATACGCCCACTGCCATTCCGCGGCAAACTTGGTCAGTCTTGCATTGTCGGTTCTGCGCTTGGACCAGCCAGCCGAGTGAAGAACCCAAGTACGGAACACGTATCCGTGCAGTAGCTCGATGCATCCTGTGACCCCGTTGACAGATTGGCGGGCGGTTGTTTAATAGAATACACCGGTGCCAATTGTTTAAGACACCGGAATTAAAGTACTCGGCTTCAAGTATGATTACGAAGTCGAAGTCGTATCGTATATGACACGGTGATAGAGATACGTAACCTCACTTGATATACTGCATGCTCGCAGCCCTGGCAGATTATACGCTTTACGTCAACTGCTTCCTTTGTTGGCATGCAGCAGATATCGAGAGAGGTGACCGAAAAGGACTGCGATCTCGGCCAGCAAACTTCTTTCGTGTAACAGAACTCCCCGTAAGTCGTATGAGCAAGTATTTTGAAAAGATCTCATGCTTCTCAGCACCTGAACTCGGATGATGCATGAATTGGCGGCGAATTTTCACGTTATGAGACTTATTGTTAACTGAGATTCCTTATTTCTCGCTGTTGTGCTGCAGCCCTCTGCTTAATGCTAAATAAGTTAATACCTTCCTTTCGTCCGAATTCAACTTTCGGCCTTAGCACAGACACAAGCATACAAGGGGGGCCTCCCGTCTCGGCTATGGCATCTAGACAATAATTTTACGGTCGTGCCTGAGCAAAGGCTGAGACGAATACGATAGAAGCGCATAATAGCGGTACTTGAAGGGAATAGTCATGATAGCCGACGCTATGATATCCAGCAATGACACCAAGCTCTGCGAATTGAGTTATTTAGAGATGCCAAGGGGCCAATTTGGACCACTTTCTAGTCACCTCGCGTCGAATCAAAGCCAAGCCCGATAACGAGCAAGTTTCCATTGGCTTGCTTCCCTTCCTGGCCCTTTCTTCAGGACCATATGTGATGCCCAGGGAATTTGAATTGTTGTTTTGCTATCTTGAGACGTTCGTTGCACTCTTCCAAGAAGCATCATGTCATACTCAAATTCTCCCTCTGTACCCGAATTCTCGCTGAAGGCGCCAGTGAATACTTTCAACACTTGGTGTTTACGAGCTAGAACATTTATCCACATGCGCCGTCGCAGCTCTTTGATTTCTATGACTTCAATCAGTCGGGGGCATTTTCCCATTATGCTTTGAGCATAGGAAGTTGCCGTAGGCTGGCTTACCACAATGACCGCGCCCGCTATCCTCTCCCATGATAACCTGTGCATCCCCGGTAAAGAATTCAACCCACTGCTCGTCTTCGACCTGCATGTCCGAGATGCGATAAAAGTTTGCGACAAATGCCCGTGCTTCATCTGTGATCGAGCTTGGCGTCGGTTCCGAGAAAGATGGCATATAATCAGGATCCGTAATAACAGACATGTTGGTCACCAGTGAGATACGGCCTCACGTATTGTTTGTCTAGTGCTTTGCCGCTGGCGCAGGAAATTCTATGACTCCAGCTTTATGTGTGGTATAGAATGCCGGTTATTATTTCCAGGCAGGCTAACACCTGGAAAGGATTTGAATTTGTCGCAGGCATGAGGTGAAATGCCTTGACGTATTACATGTCCGTTGGAGTTGTAGCGGGGGTAGCGCATTTGGCCTTGACGTATTACTACAACTCCGACGGACATGTCACATTCGTATGACGTCTGGTTGGATTGGCCAAACTAGTATGCTTGCACTAGATAGAGTTTAGCGTGGGACAACATCCGATGATGCCGCGTCCGGGCTTGCGGAGCTAAATACTGTTTCTACGCACATATACTTACTGCACTACTGTACTCCCCAGATCAAATAGTTCAAATAGTTCAAATTAAGAGGGGCTTCAGCTACGCCACATCAATGCCTGTTTGGGGCCGTGTTTCACTGCCTTGGTTTTCAGTTAGCGACTAGGGAAACCTATAAATCGAGGTGTTGCACGCAGAGTCAGCCCTTGGAAAACACGTCATGCTGAGAAACAATGTCACGCAGAATCTTGTTCGTCTTCACAAGCAATGACCGGCTGGTCAATACCACCGTGAAAACAGGGTGGTATCTTCCCGAGGCTGCTCATCCATACTATGGCTTGAAAACGGCAGGGTTCGAAATAAATTTTGTAAGCGAACTCGGGGGTCGTCCACCGCTAGACGAGTCGTCCATCTCGGCGACAAAGAATGACGCTGTTTGCCAGAGAGTGAGTCAATATTCTCACAGCGTCGTTATTTAGCGACAAGATACTGATTATTTGTTAGTTCTTAAACGACGCCCAAGTGCAAAAGATGCTCGACGAGGCACCGCCTCTGTCAAGTATCAAGCTTCCTGCTCCTGAATATGACGCAGTCTTCTATCCCGGCGGCCAAGGACCACTTATTGGGCTGCCTCAGAACACGCAATCCCAAAACCTGATAAGGACAATGTTTGAAGATGGTAGAGTAGTCAGCGCAATTTGCCACGCCCCAGCAGTTTTCACGGAGGTCAAGCTGCGAGATGGAAAGTATCTTGTGGACGGCCGTAAAGTGACAAGCATGTCAAACAAGGAAGAGGAGTTATGGGGTCGAGTGCCTTATGTACCGTACTTGGTGCAGTCTCGGCTGAAAGAACGCGGTGGCATTTTCATCGAAGGTAGTACGGCGTGGGGTGACCATGTAGTTGTGGATAAGGATTCTCACGGGCGGAAACTTGTGACTGGTGCCAACCCTGCGTCTGGAGGGAGTCTTGCGAGGGAAATTATCAAGCTGTTACGAGAATAATATACTTAAGTATAGCAGCGGAAGAAAATAAATTTAACGTGGGTTGCCCTTTAAAAGAATTATTATTAAGACTTATAATATACTAAGGTAATAAGCAGCCTTAATAAAGTAAACTAAAATATCTTACTGGTGTGAAATTAATGGCATAGAATACAAGCTCACCGTCCAGAAACACCACAGCTTCCAGTTGTTTCTATCCTCACCAACTCCTTTCTTAGTCAACACCCTCCCAACAAGTGTGAGGGCGATGGTTCTTGTAGCAATAGCGTCTAACCAACCCAACTTCCAAAACTTGACTGCCAGCTCCGTCCACACACATGTGAAGGCGGCGATAGTGACCCTCGAGAAAGTCTCTCCAAAGACAAGAGGAATGGTTTTTCTGAGCCTTGTTCGATCGCCTTCTTGGTCTTTCAAGTCTTGGATTTGCATAGTCGTAAGAATCACACCACTCACGGTCAGAATCCACAAATAAACCGGAGTGGAAATGTGGCAGTTGGGCCCCTGAGCAATTTTCAAGCTAGCCAGGTTGAAGAAGCCGTACGCAACAGCGATGACGGCGTCGCGGATGAGCTCGTTGCCGGCCCTAAGGTCGTTGTACATCCAAGTTAGCACTTGGATCATCAAGCCCTCTTGCCACAGGCCAATGGAATAGTTGAGAGCCTTGGAAAGCGGGATCAGAACCAGCATCGCTTTGCGAACCAGTTCAGGTTGCACTCGATTCGATGGAACAGGTCGCCATGGCTTGTTGATAGCATCCTCTTGGATTGACTCGGGGCGTCGTTGATTTGCTAGTGTGAAAAGAAGCACGCTGTACCAGTTAAAGGCAACTACCACTGGCGACCTGAAGAGTACTTGTTCCCAATTTGGTTGCGGGCAATCAATAGAGAAGCCAGCGGCGGCAAGGGCGCTTAGGATACCGAAGGCCGAATTGGGCAAGACAAATGTGAGGACATCGCTCTGAGTGAATTCCCAAATCAGTTGAAAGAGCAGCCAAGGGCTATAAAGTACATGGGTGTTTGGACTGTGCGGCTGAGTCATTTTCTCCTTCATGGTTGAGGGTAGATAGCGGCGGTGATGTAGCAGTAGTTTTAGGCTGCAATGATTCGCCGAGACTCTGCAACAGGGGAATCTGGTTGCGCATAAAGCTTAAAGCATCGATTTAGGGAGCTTGGAAGTGAGACTAGTTGGGATCTGTTATAGTTACGATGAGAGATCACAGGCGGCTCTTTAACAGCGGGAGTAGAGGGACACGAAACTGCATAACACAGATCAAGTCACAGCATTTACGCTTTGGTGCAATAAGGCTGGGAGACCAGCCAGCAGTTGGTGTTGGATGCAAAATGGAAGATAATTTGTGATTCAATACCGTCTGGTTGATCTTACCTCACTGTGGGCGTTGACATAGCCGCACCTCTGTCTTTATTTGGCTAAAGGGACTCTTATGTAGGAAAACTTTGGCAGGAAAGAGGGTCAGGCCATGCATATGCATCATACGCCCAGCTTATAGAGTGCGTCTCCAATTACCATTTTAGTCACTGGCGGACTCTGACCCTCCCTCACCTTCCTTTCTTCTCCGTTCCATTCCTACCAGACCCTTAGCAAGGCTTTCTTGCACTGAGCCAAAATCTTCTATTCCCGACGTTCCTTGACAGCACGTCTCCATCACACACCCCCCGCACTACCCCTCGCCACATTATGATGTGTGCCGCACTTTCATGCTTGTACTCGCATTGGAGTGGTGTACTTCAATTAAGAGGTCAAAGTCATTTAACGGAGACGTGTCCAAGTTCCCTTGATTTCTTTTTCCGCTATGGTTTCCCCTACTACATTTCCACGTAGCGTCTTACTGCCTATATATATAAATAACACTATTGGAAATTGACGGGAAATGGAAGACGCCACTAATTCTCTAGGGCTGCTGTTGACCCTGGGATCTGGTTTGGGAATCCTTATTCATGTCTACGTATTCAGGCACGGAGAATAGCATCTTCAGGCTTTTGGCCTTTTTCTTTTTCATCTTTTCGTTTATATGCTAACTCCCTTGTTTACTTTTGTTTTAAGATCACAGCCCGCCTTTCAGCTAGTAAAAGGCATTCAGTAGTACAGTTATAGCTATTTTCCTGGAGTCCTAACAAGCATAGCTATTTATCAAATATTTTCCTACCCGCTAAGTTGTCTACGGTTTAAAGGCCTATTCTCTGCTTAAATATCCAAATTCTAATATATATAAGCTTATAAAAATTCTAAGAACTATTTCTATTAAATATATTATTAGGGGAGAATTAGCTTATATTATAAAAAACTTAATAAAATTTTTAAGGTAAATACTAATAAAAAAATAATAAATTTATAATTATAAAAA